TTAAATAAAATGGCAAAATACAAAAATCCACCTGTGTGTAAAGAGTGACTTGCCATTTTTGATGTATGTCTTACTTGTTTTCTACAAGTAATGTGCCCTTGCATTACTTGAATTAAAAAAAAAAAAAAAGACTGTAAACCCTTTCTGCAGCTGGAAGAGTGATGGAAATTAGAATTTCTTTTTACATAATCCCCTCGCATTTTGCTTGTGGATACAGCTATGTTAACACAATGCAACATTTGAGTTGAGAGATCTGCCAGATCCTGGCACCAGTGATAGTTTGCTGACTGAAGGTCTTATTTGATGGATTTTCAAAGTAATACTGTGCTCAGTTGTATCTATGTTCCTGGAAGGAGGCTTGCAGTCAGCTTCTCAGAGGAAATACTTTCAAAAGGAAAAGTTTAATTTTGCCAAGATTCAGATACGGTCAGGGTAATTGGACAAACCGGAGCTTTGTAAGTGAGGGATGAACATAGACTGCTCCCTGGGACTGGCAAATGTGCTAGGAGAACAGGAAAAGGAACTGTATGAAGATTATTACATTTGCTGAAAATTTGAAGTACTGTGTATATCTCTTGGTATATTGTCAAGTGTAGAGTTGCATTTGAGCAGGGTGGGGTTTTTTTTTACTTTTTTAAATTAAGTAAAATGTATTTATCCTTCCTGTTTCTGGTTTCTACTTTAACCCACCAGAAAATGGGTTCACCAAATTAATTTTAGTTGTTTTAATACTATGTATTTATAAATTACTGTAAAAATTGATTGTAATATGATACTGATTCACTATAGGTTTTACAAGTAGATCTATATATACCTAGCTTCCATGCTTTTCTGTTATGAAGCAGTAGGGATTGTATTCCAACTGTACCCCACTGCTGGCCAAAGGAATGCACTGACAGGTAACAACCAGCATTAGCCTCTGACATCAGCTGACCTTTGCCAACTTATAATTAAGGTCTGGACTAATATTTTCTCCTGTGTTTCCTTGGCTGCAGAACAGTAAAACCGTTTCTTAATTCACCTGAGGTGGTTTCTGTGAGAGTCTGTGCTCATTGATTGCATGGTCTTTACAGGTAGAGAATGAAAGAGGGCAGACTGAGTTTCTTCAGAGGGATAACTTACATTTAAAATATAGGGGGAAAAAAAAAAAAAGGTCATCCAGCAAAAGGAAAGCTGCAGATAGCTCTCTTCCTTCAGTAGTGGCATACTGAAGTATCTTCCTGCTATCTTTTTGTCTGTGTTAAAGTCTTTCCTATTCAGGTCTTGTTAGGTTGGCCAAAAGATCAAAAATCCTAGTTAGGAACTAAGGAACAGGAAGCTAGAGCAGTTGGATAGCCTTGATTCCTTAGGAAAGAGAAGAGGTGGGATTGTGGACAGGGACTTTCTACAGATTGCTGTGGCTGGGCTAGGGGCAGGCATACAGACAGACTGTCTTGTCTTTGCTAGGACTTTCGGCTAAAGAAAATGAGATTATTTGCTTTGTAAAAGCAGGATTGGAATGAGAGGATTAAAGGGAAGGATCCTGAAAAGACCAGTGAGGTGGTCATTGGCTCTAATATAGTTAAGTATAAAAACATAAAAAAAATTCAAGTAAAATTGCAGTAGAGGGAGTAAAGTAGAAGCTGTTTTGATGAAGAGTCAGAAATCAGATTATATACAGGCATGTGAAAGGTGCTTTGGCATTCCCTTGTGAATGAAATCCAGCAGGAGAAGGGAATGGAAGAAAGATAAAAAGGCACTGGATTTTTGAAACATACAGCTTGCATGGGCATGAACATCCATGCAGTAGTGTTGGACTTGACGGAAATTTGCCAAGCAGACAGATCATGCCTTCTCCTGCCCTGTCTTGTTGGTCACACACAAGAGCTCTGTCCTGGATGTGGGGAGCTGTAGGAAGGCAGTGCTATGGGTAGGCACCATCTGCCTATGGAGAGCTGGGACAAAGCCCTGGGAGACAGAAAAGGCTTCCCTCCAAATGGCCAGGCAAAAGACCACGTGAATTACAAAGTGAGCTGGGTCCTGCAGCCTGGTGACATTTCCAGATTGTTCTCTGAGCAGGCAGCACTTGAGCAGTGTCTGGGTGAATCTGTCTGGGCTCTCTGCCTCGGTGCCTGGAACACAGGAGGAGGAGAAAAGGCTTCTTTCCAGTAGGTGCAGGAGATTACATGCTTTGCTGACTTGCTCCACCTAGCTTCCCAATCAGAGGATAGAGATTTTGTGTTTCTGACAGCCTCATACAGTCCAAATTCAACAAGGACAACTTCAGAGCAGTGGTTTTCCAGTCTGTCTTGGATCTGGGTAAGCATCAGATATGCACAGCTATGTAGAGAAATTAAGACTTCTGACAGTAGGTTTGTTTTTTGGCAGTTTTTTCTGCATGATATAGAAATACCTCTCAGCTGCGAGGTAGGAGCCTGCCCCCAGGTTTTGGAGTGTTGCACCCAGCCTGGCTGTCCATTTTACCAGCAAGCCCTAGTATCTTCTCTTGTTACTGGATGGTGAAAAAGAAGTGTCTGCGCCAAAAGAACCCTTCCCAACAAACACAAAGAAGCCCAGCAGTGTTTCCCATTGTGCTGATTTTAGTCAGAAATATTAAAACCCACTCAAACATGAAAAATTATTTAGGTTACCGTAGATAGTTTGAAATTACACTGTAACCATGCAAGATGGTGGGGATTGGTTCGCTGGCTGTGAGGAGCTGAGAAGAGCTCAGCTGAGGCTCAGAGTTAAGGTCCTACAGATAGCAGTAATGTTGCATAGTGACAGTAATAAAAGTTATGAAGAAGTTCTAGAGCTCCAGAACCTCTTACTAGTGAAATAAGCACTGGGTCTTTTTGAGGCTTTCTTCTGATTGGAGTCATACCACTCTTTGAAGGGCAAAAACTGTGTGTTTGTGTGTTTTCCTACCTCTGTACATTTGAGTGGAGAATGTAAAAATCCCAGCATGGTCTTGTTTTGGTAATAGGATTGCATGCAGACATCCTTGTGGTTAAATTAAAAAAAAAAAAACAAAACAAAACCCATGACATTTCCTGTGAAGGGGTTGTTGTTTGTAAATGGAGTGCTTAATGACTGAGACTAGAGATGTACACACAACTGCAGGATGTTGCTCATAACCCTCTAATGTAACTCCTTAACACTCTCAGGTGAAAATTTTCTTTCCAGAATTGATCTAAAGAAGACTTTTTTTTTTAATATAATTTCTTATGCTCCCCAGAGGGGAACGCCTGCGCTGTACTGTTGTGTATGTGACAAATGAGGAGATGGAGCTTAACTCATTTAATGGTACCTGCAAAACCACCTGCTGAACATAATCTCTTCTGGGATTAGTGCAGTCAAGTTATTTAAGCACACTTCTAGGTAAAGAAACACAGTTCACAATTCTTTAGAGCTTCACCAAGAATGTATTCTTTGAGTATACTGTTTTAGGAAGAAAGTTGGAATATTTACTTTTAATTTTTTTTCTCAGCCCTCTTTTTTGACTTCTCTTGCTCATCCCCTAGTGTTTGGTTTTCACAACAGTGCAGTATTCGATATTGTACTTTCAGCCTTCAAAGTCTGCAAACCCTGCCTGGGAAACAAGCATGTTGCTGAGCTTCCTGGCATGGCTGCTTTTTAACCAGAATGCAAGTGGAAAAATGTAACCTACTCTAATGCTCTTGTGGGAGGACCTGTGGAAACAAGGCAAACTATTTAAGGCTTCTTGCTACATGGTAAAACTAAAATGTTTCTTTTTTCCTGCTTGTACCTCTCTATTTTCTCAAGTACTTTTTCTTGCCAGGGTTTTTCATTTAAGCTCCTCCTTCTGCCTTGGTCTTCCTCACCCATGTCAACTCTTTCTCATAAGGCATTAGAGAGAAGCAGAAGCACACATGTATTTGGTGTGGGGTATATGTCAAATTTGGGGTTTTACCTGTCAGCATTCTCTGTCCCAGCTGCTTTGTTCTACTCCATCTCCCTTTGCAGCCACACCACTAAACTTGGTTTCCAGTGCTACTGACAGCCTTTTATTTTAATTTCTGCTTGTATCAAATCCAAAACTGTGTCTCCATCTCTATTCTGTAATGTTTTGCACTTGCATTATTTGCCCTTTTGGTAGCTGAAACTTCCAGCATAACTCCCTGCTATGTGGTTGGAAAATGTATGTGCAAGGAGAAGAGTTAGGCTGCTTAAATACAGTTACAGCTCACTGTAAAAATCCTAGGGTGACTTTTTAGCCATGGAACTGAATCCTGCTTAGTTCAGAAGCTGATCCACAAATTACTGGTGTGAATTGGTTGTGACTTTAGAGGAACTCTGCAACTCTTATTTTCAGATGAAGATCACCCTCTTGATATGCCTTACCTGATGGATGCATTAGTGTATTGTCCTGGGTGTTGAACTGTTTGTTCAGTTTACCTGATAGAAAATGCTGCTTCTTCCTAAATTCATCTTCAGTTCCTGACTTGAATATGACTCAGTTGCATTTTAGAAATCTGAAGCAGCATTTTTGGGGGGTGTTTGGGCTTTCTGTTGTTGTTTGTTGGTTTTTACTTTAATGGTAGAGTGTTTTCTCCCTTGTGGGTGGTTTTAAACTGTTTTTTTTTTTTTTTCCTCCTGATAAGTCCTGCTAATACTGTAGTATTTGAGAATGAATTGTAATGACATCTAACATTTTGTTCTGTTTGTACTGCAGACTGAGGTCAAGTAAACAAATAAAGCAATCATTATGTTTTAGCATTCTTGTTGAATGAGGATTTTAAAATCTAGTCACAGCTACAGGATCAGCTGTGAAAAGAAGGGAGAAATACAGAGCTCTGAGTAGCACTATTTTTGAAGCAGTTTATGGAAAAATAATGGACTGAGGGGATATGTAAGGACTCTGGTAGGAAATAAATGGCACGATGTTGTTGATGGAAAGGGTTTGGCAGGAGGTTTGTTGTGACTGTTTTGTGGCTTAGAATTGCAGAGGAATTTCCTACAGACTGGACTAACCATTACAAATATGTGTCTGCTTTTAGGAGATCAAGGCATACAGTGGAGTCTTCTAAGGGAAGATGTCATCTTTGACAATGAGAACCTGTTGTGTGGATAAAAGAGGAAGTTTCTTTAAGGTAAATGGGATACTTACACAGAACATGAAGTATGTGGGTTTATGTGAAATGAACACAGCAGATTGTGCGGTACCTTCTGTGATACATAGTAAGCCTTTTCTGTAAAACAGGAAGTACTTCTTGAGCATTTCTTTTTACAGGCAGATTTGTGACTGGATTACCCCCCAGTTATTTCACATGTATATTTTTTTTCTGCACATGGAGTAGAATATTTGTTGTAAAATAGGGCATGGCTTTCTTCGCTGCTAATGCTGAGAACATAAGATTTATTATGCACAGGCATAAAATTATTGTAGCCTTCATAAACTGGATTTGTGTCCACTTAAAGCTGTGGTACAGGTTTATGATTTCCATTACTGGATTGAAAATTAGTTTCATTTCCTTGCCTATTTTGAGAACAACTGGCATCCCAAAAAGCCAGACTGCAGTAGGAGGTCCCCATGCATTTTCAAAAGATGACTGAATCCTGTTAACTATGTGCCAGGGTCACAGTGGCTGTCTTGCTGGGCAGGGTTTTGCTTTGGGGAGCAATCACAATTTACAGGTGCTTTTGAGCACTGAATTAAGTAATCACAACCCTTAGAATATTTATCCCTTGCTGTAGCTTCTTCGAGTGAAAGATGCTAATGCTGCCGTCTTGGGGTGTTGCTGTTTCTATTCCTTCTCTTCCTCTGGGGCAGAAGTTTCCCTTGGGGAAATCTTTAGGAAATGAATGATTAGCGCTGCAGTGACATGATTTTCTTTTGTCTTGCCTAGCAGTTAACAAGGCCATCCAGTGATGGGAACCACCTCTCAGTTCTGCAACACACTTCAGCTACCTCTCATAATTCAAAAATACAAACATCAGCTATGTTGATAGCACTCCACAGCCAAATAGGGAGAATAGCCCTATTTTTCAAATCACAGCAAGGAACTGTCTCAGTTCCAAGAAATATCTCTAGGTTGTCTCTTGCATGTATGCTGAAGGATTCCTGATGTCAGATGGGACTGTAAGCAAGCACCCAGTCATTTTCTGCAGTCCTTTGGGATCTCCTTATGTAATTCTTATGTGAAATTAGATGCTGGAATAGCTGTTTTATTCATGATGATGGGGTTGCAGCTACTCTAAATTATTAGAAATGCAGTCTGCAGTCTGCCTGGGCAATTTCAAGAAACATTGCCAATTAGAAAACTAAGGTCTTACATTTTCTTAAGGACATGCTGGCAGGGAAAAAGATATCTCCAAACTACTTTTCCAGACCTCTCAACATCCCTGGGAAGTTGCCCTGTTGGACCATGGTTCTGAGCACAGAGTGTGGGATTAGAAGCTGCAGGCAGTCAGTGTGTAGCACACCTGGTAGCGTGTGTGTACAGTGAAATTACCTTTTTTTTCCTCCCTCTGCCACGTGAGTAGAATTGTGACAACAGTTACATTTGTTTGCTACATATGAGCTGGTGAGCAAGCAAAACACTTGGCACATCAGTTTTTTTGAGTTTGCATTATTTTAATTTGCTCTGTCTGTCTGTGTTTAGGAGACCTAGTAATCAAAATACAGCCTTTTATCTCTGCTGATCTGTTCTTCAGTATGCTCTCCCACATGCACAGACTGTCCCCTGTACTTGCATATGGCTCTCACGTTGTGCTTGTTAGTTTGCAGTTGTCTAAGAAACCTTTACCACGTTGGTATGCAGATTCTCAGGGCACTTACATCGTTTTAAGGGAGTATCTTACCATTCTCAGCAACATTTGCCAGAAAAATCGCTGACAAATACCAGTAGGGAAATTCCAGCTTTATCTTTTCTTTTCTGGTTCTTAAGTAGTTCTCATTGCTACAGCTTCTAACCATCTCTTAGGTTTTTTTCACAGCCATTCTTTTGACTGTTAGTACACAAGGAATACACTATTGTCCCCGTTTTAGACAGAGCAAAAGTCTGTAGTTTTAGAGACTAAATTCTGTGGACTCTACATCTTGTGATTGCTGAATGCTCAGAGCCAGCAAGTACTAAGAACAAGGCAATGATGGGGTTAGTCTGGGGTTAGTCTTGGATAATTCTGGGACTGAGTAGCTTGCCAGTGGTTACAGAGAGAGTCTGTGGTAAGGCAAGGGGCTGAATATATGTCTCTGACAAATGTCCTCTTTACTGAATTAGCCTCCTTCTCATCAAAATATTCCAGTGTTTACTGAACTGGCACCAGAGGTTGTACACCAGTAGAGCTTTTCTATTCCAAAATCAAGCATCAGGTAAAACGTTGTTTCTGATGAATAAGATACGGAACAATGTCACTGGCCCTAAGAATTCATAGCTTACCAGAATCTGCAGATGTGTATCAAAATATTGGATTGTATTCAGAGGCTTGCAGAAGTTCAGAAGCAGCATTCTCAGATGGGCTCGTCTCTGGCACTTGGCCACCTCATCACACAGGGCCCTCTGTGAGGGTTGCTACGTTCTGCTTATCAAAACAGGAAGGAAAAGATGTGATGCCAAAGAGGATGCAGGTCTCCAGAAAGAATGAAAAATGAGATGCTGGCAGGAAGGGGGAGTGGTAAGTGCTGAGGCTCATTTGTCCAGTCTGATTCTAATCTGGTTGTCTTTGTTGTCCCCTTGCCAGATTAGAAGCACCCATTTTACCTTTTCTTCTTGAGTTCTTGTAAATCTCAGGGCTTGGAAACATTCTGCAGTGGTCATCTTAGCTGACTCTTTTAGTGCCTTCTCAGAATGATGGAGGTTTTGTTAATTCTCTGTACAGCTTATTTACGTTTCAACACAAAGGGCAGGAATTCACTTGTCACACAGTTTTTTTCTAAAAATGTCTGGGAACAGACATCAAATCAAAGCCACCTGTCTTCTTCTTGGGAACAGGAAACTTGTCAAGTGAGTAATAAGAGCTGTAGTTATGCTGGGCTTCTGGGAGAGGCACTGTCTATATCTGGTCCTGGGCATGTGATTTATTTCCCTGATGCATGGCAGTGATGTGAGTGTCAATAGAGCAGCTTCACAAATGTGACTGGAGCCCCTTGGGAGTTAGTTGCTTCTGGTGAACAGACTGATTTTTGCTGCTTGTAAAACATCCCGAACAATGCAAAGTAAAGTAGATGTTGTGTTATGGTGAGAGAATGCTGGGGTACTGAGGTGCCATGTTTGTGGCTTGTATGTAGGAGTTTCACTGTCAACTTTGCCAGCTCCCAAAAGCTGATCTCAGTCTTGTTGAGCTCTGACTCAATTGCTAATAAGCAGAGTGTGTTATGAAAGGAAATGCTGTAGTTTAAGATGTTTGCATTTCATTATTTCGTTCATGGATGTTAGGAATGTTAACAGTTAGTACATGGGTATTTGGCAATCTAATGTTTAGGATAGATTTGGTTAGGCAGTACTGTACTGGGCTGCTGTGTGAATTCATGTTGCCTGAGTCATAATTATTATTTGGGTTTACAGTGGTTATACTGTAGTGTCTTTTGAATTTACAGAACAGTTCTTTATCAGTGTTCTGGTTTGAAAGCAAAACCAGTGAGAGACTCCAAGTCAGAAATACAATTTATTAGGAAAAGGGAAAAAGAAAACAAAATACATTAAATAATACCAAAGAAAAACCACTGACAGAGTCAGAATACAACCTGACACCCTTTTGATCAGGGTGTTGGTAGCAGTCCAAATAGTAATGACTGCAGTCCTCCTGGAGTGGCAGATGTGGTTCTCTCAGAGCAGTGATCCTGTAGAAGGGTGTAGTCTTCCTTTGACGATCCAGTGGAAAAACCCAGCTGTTCCTCTTAGAAAAGCCTGAGTCTGGTGTTCCAAAAACTCAGACTATATCCAGGTAAGAATGTCTGGCTCCTCCCTCTGGGCACAACATCTCACAATGGGATCCTGTAACTTTTATCAGTCATGCAGTGACATTTAATAGGCCATTAAGGGGGGAGGGCTGGTTTGTGGAAGAAATAAAGAAAACTGCCCAATAACAAAAGATAACTGCCACACCTCTGCTAACAGATGGCAAATAGAATACATCTTGCCTTGCAATCTAGGACAATCAAAAGTAAATTCCAAAGGAAAAATTGTTGCACACAAAAATAGCTATTTTATCATGTTATATAAGATCTCATTTTAATTTTGTTTTTATGAAATACTGATTAATTAACCACCTGAGAAGATGTCATGTTTCCAAATGTATTTTTCAAGTAAACCTCCTCTTTCTATAGCATATAGCAGGGTAATATCTTTTTTACAGATCTAAACAGTCCCCAACAGGTTTCTTCTGATTACTATTTAAGTCTTTGGGCTTATGTATGCATGTATGTGTTATAGTAACAGAGGCCTCTGACAAATGTATACATCCACTTCTGTTACGTTTTCCTTTGGAAGTTCCCTCTTACCATGTTGATTTCAAGTCTGTTGAATCAAAGGGGTGAGTTTTCCCATTATTTACAGCCAAAGAGGTACTGTACGTGTTGCAAATAGAGAAGTCTCTTTGAAGAATTCCAATATTCTTAGCTTTGCACTAAAAGGCAGAGCCTTTTGCTACTGCTTGCTTCCTCAGGGCTGGAGCTAATAGCAGTGCATACCCAGGGTCCTTCCTGCATTTTGTAGAAACATGTTATTAACAGCTCATCTTGTATGATGCTAGTCACATGTGCATCATGTGTGCACTATAATCACCAGAAGTTTCATTGATCCTAAATACTGGGAAATGCTGTCATGAAATCATGACTGTGTCTTACATTATTTGATAGAAAAATGCTGTTGTAACAGTATGTGTGAATTAATTGCAAGGATACACAAATGATGCGACTCCATAAGATTTTATTTTCTTAAATCAAGAGAAGAGCAACTTTTTTTTGTCATTAAAGGGAATTTAAGGAAAAATAGTTGGAAATTGCTGAAAATATAGATGATTTATTCTAGAAAAAAATGAGGGGCTTCTTCCTGGAGGTCAGTGTTTCAGTTCAAGTGGGGTACATGGTGGTAGGTGATTAGGCTCGGTTGGGTTGCGGTGTGTTCTATCCTGGGGAATTTTGCAGGTCAGTTTAGTGTTTGATGCCACACTTTGACCTGGTTTCCTTGTCCAGAGTGTATTGACTTTTCAGAGACTAAGGCTGATTTGTCATGGAGGCTATGTAGCATACCCAAGAAATTTAGCCTGTAGAATAGAATGTGAGCATAAGGCTGCTTGAAATATACCATTTTGTTTAAGTCCTCTTTAGAAAAAGAAGTAAAGTTGCTAAACATGGAAGAATTCATCTTAGGAATAATTTCTGCAGAGTTGTCGTCAAGGCAGGCATACAAATACAAAAGCCTTAAGATTACTTCACTGTTAGTATAGTTTGGATGAAAGTTCTTTGCTGTAGCTCCCTGAGATTTTGTTTTCTGGGAGGGAGGTGGGTTTTATCACAGCTCTGGTCAAAGCCTGCTAACAGAGTTAACTCAATTGCCAGCCAGGTAGTGACACAGCAAAGCAGGCATGGTGGAGGTGGCTGAAAATACATGGACGCTTCTGTGGAGAGCTCATACATAGTATGCTTTTTACGGAGAGATGCTGAAAAGCTCCTTTGTTGTGCAGACTGTTGGCCTTCGTAGTCTCTGCTGGTATGTCAGAGAACAGGGCAAACCACTTCAATGGCTCTTTATGGCCACAGTTGGTCTTATGGTGGTGATGCTGCCCATGAAGGGGAGCTCCTTGTACGGAGCTGATTCATGGGGAATAGCAGCTCAGCTTTCATGTAATTTCATGTAATTGCTGAAGCAGCTTTGCAAATGTGCTTTGCTGGCAATGCAGAAATTCATCCCGCTCTGGCTGCTCCCTGAGGCTAGCCTGTGTTCTTCTGGTTGCCCCTTCAAATGGTCAGGGAGGCATTGCTTACATCTGGCTGCAGAGACTCAGGGTTGCTTGGGATTCAGCAGGTGGAATGTCTTTGCAGTGTCAGTGGTACATATGGCTGGTGTCACTAAAACTATAGGAAAAACAAAAACTCTCCAACAACAATCTTTAGTGCAAGAGAATGAAGGCATTACTTTATCATTGCCAGGATGTTGTTCTGGCCAGGACATGCAACAGAAACCAGTTCATCCACACATTGTCTTGGTTGTGCAGAGAAAATCATTCCATCACACAAGTCTTTATTAGATTTTTCACATTTGTGAAAACACAGAGAAGTTCATTGGTTCCACATTCACTTCTCCTGAGGTCTTAGTATTTGGTTTCCTATTGTTATTGGTTTGCCTTTAATGTTAATTAGTTTCTCATTCTTCATTCTCTTATCTATCTCTTCCCAGACCAGGAGTCTTGGACCATGCTAGGGGTGATGTTTGGAGTTGACATTCATGGATGGTTGTTATCTTTTGTGTATCTTCTTTTTTGTATGCTGCTCCCAGTCTGCTGAGATGTTAAACTCATCAGACCTTGAGTGGTGGAAGTTTGAAAAGAAACTTCAATTCCTTTCCCCCTGGGAACCCCTGGCTAAAGTTATATTAAAAAATGTTGAACTTCATATGATTTCCAACACTGGCAACTATGACTTGGACAGACGAAAACCCTTAGGGTGTGGGTTATGGTAATTCATTCTTATATAAGGTTAATTTATTGGAGTTGGCCAGTTGTAAGCAGAGACTAAAACTTATTTTGAATTTATTGGAATAATGGTGTTCAGCAGAGAGTGTGAATTTCTGAGGTGGAGGAAAAATTACAAGGTAACAATTTAGGAAAAGGATGCCTGCAATTCTTTGAAAATGCTTCTGTACTGAGTTGCCTGCCCTGAGGGGGCTCAGGGCAGCTGTGAAGACTCTTCTGACTTGGACCCCAAAGCTGGTTTTCTTCATATACCAGGGGTTTGTTCATTCTGATGTGCAGGGGTGGTGGTAGAGATCGCTGCATCACTGCAAACCTTTTCTTAGGTTCCCTTCTGGCAGGACAGAGGGAACCCTACTAGAGTTTATAGGCTGTCATGGTGTGGCATGACAAGCAAACTTGATGCATTGGCTAAAAAGAAGTGTTCAAGAGAGCAGGCTTTGCAAATTTCATCGTTGGTTTCTGCTCAACAAAATGTAAAGTCTAGCTAGCTAGCAAATTCTGGATTTCTCAGGATACAACCTTAGTGCTAATCTTGCCTACCTTAAAATGAGTTTTTCCCCTCATACCCAGAATTAGATTGGTGGTCTACCTGAGCTGCTGAAGGGTTGGAAGACAATTCTTTTTAATTGAATTGTTGGTTCAAGTGGAGTCCAAAACCTAATGTGAAAAGCAGCCACCCACTCCCTTCTTGCTTCATTGCTTTTCATCCTCCACGGTGTCATAATGCTGTCTTAGTGTCCCTTCTGAAATAAAACTTCTGCACATGGAGTTCTTCTAATTTTTTTTTTCTTTTTTTGAAAAGGTAAATGCTACAAATAGCTAAATAATTTAGTTCTTGTAAGATGTTATATAATGCACAGAGGCTGCAAATTTAATCCATTTAAATTAAAAGGCTGGCCAAACTGAAAGGTTTTGTACTGGCACAAAAAAGGAATTACTCTTCCTCCGAGAACCTTTATATGTGGCCCCAACCCTTACTTGTTCCTTTGCAAGGGGAAGTCCAAATAGGATACGATTTTACAAAAAAAGTTTGTAATCTCTGGTGACTAAACTTTCCCTGGCTTCTTTTCCATGCCTCTTCCACTCACTTGATGTCATACTATTTTTGTCCCTTTCTAGCTCATTGACACAATTGCCTCAGAAATCGGAGAACTGAAACAGGAGATGGTACAGACAGATCTCACAGTGGAAGATGAATGTGCTGATTGGCGAAGGTGATTAAAATGTTTATTTTCATGGTTCTGGAGAGTCTTACCACAACAGGAATGTTTTCACTGTGCTTTCTTCTTGGGTGGCTTATGTCCTAGCACTTTTCTCCCTGGCAGCATAGGAGGTATAGATAATCTTGCTCTTTATCCAAGGAATTTGCCTTTCTGCAGGAGATACAGTTGTTTGGTGTATTTGCCTTAATATCTTCTAATTGCAACTGAGCTTCACTTCCTTGTTAAAAACCTTGGATACTGATGAATGTCTAAAGCATGATTATTACCCTTGTCTGTGGCACAGCTTTGCTTTCATGCTGTAAAGGCAAAATGTCCATTGCTTCAAGTGGCTCTTTGAAGGTTCAATATGCAATAACATGACTTATTTATGCTTGCAGGTTAGGAAGTAAAATATTGACTGCTATGAGCTGATGCAGGTGTGGGTTAAGTTAATTTCTATACGAGTAACTTGCATATAAGAAAAATAAAATTGTACCTTTGAGTGCACAGAATGGGACCCCAGCATTTTGTCTTGAACAGTTACATCTGCTAAACATCTGGAGGATAATCAATATTTTAGTCCTTGTGTTAACAAGAGAGCACATTTTTGTATTTACCTGAAAAATTTGTTGCAAGAGGAAAGCAACCAATGGTAGGTGTTGTATTTTATCTGACTACGTGGTCTTGGCCAGCCCTGGAGCTGGTGGGGTTTGTTACTCTAGCAGTGAGATAATGAAGTGGAATTATTTTTTTAAAGAATTACATCCAAGATTTTTAGCTCTTTTACTTTCTATGAATTCTATTGAAATCTGCTAGAACTTACTACAAAGCATATGTAGATTATTTTCAAAAACATTAAGCAGCAGCTTTGTTGCCTAAGTAGTAAAGAATGTTGCGGGGAACGCTGGGCTCTGCTGGGCTCCAGGACGGCTTGGATGAATGGAGACAAGAGATCTCTGAAGGTTGCTCTTAGAATATCAGGTTTATTATGGATGGTGAAAGGTCTTGCTTGGAGCTGCCAGAGGCAGCACGTGGCAAGGCCTGAGGGAATGGGGGAGGGGAGAGACAAGGGGTAGAGAGGATGCTCCAGGAGAGGGTGGAAGTTCCAAGGGGCTGGGGGTTCCAAGAGAGGGAAAGTTCCAAGAGAGTGTCTGGCCCTTCAGAGACCCCTTATCAGGGGGCTTCAAAGTGGGCTGGAGCAAGTCTTAGGCCAATGGGGGTCACAGACATCTGATGCTTCAGGGGAGGGTTACAGGTGTGGGATGAACCATACATTTTGGGAGTGAGATAGAACAGTCCATTTGACTTTTGGACCTATCTGTAGGTAAGGGCATTGTCCAACCAGTAGGGGGGATTGTTTTCATCCTGGCTGTAGTATTGTAAATCTTTTGCCGGGCAATTATATTTATTCATCCTTCCCAACAGAATGTAAAACAGTTGAACTAATTAAAGTTCTTGGCTATGGCCCTGGTTGAACATTACTCAAATTTTAAGGCTTTTTAGAGCACAGTTCTTTTAGAGGGGCAGAAAAGATACTTTCTTCATTTTGTGAATTCAGCTAATTAACTTCAGAGATCATCAGCTACTTTTCAGTTAAGAAAAGGCTTCTTGTATCTTTGAATACATCATATGCATGAAAGGCTAAGATTTACTGATTCTAAAATCTTGGTGGAAGCACTTAGCTGGAAACAGTCAACTAAACCTCCCCATTTTACAGATCATTAGTTTTCTTTTTATTGATTTTTTTAAATGAGTTTTTAATTTTAATTTGTTAATCTTGACTGCAAAACATATTTTGGTTTAAGATAAAGTAAACTTAACATTAAAAAGTGAATAATGCAATTTCCATTAAAAAGAATAATAGCCATCAATAAATTATTTTATGTCACTTCAAGATGGTAATGTGAAATATGAAGTCTGAATAAATGAGCTAAAGTTAAGCCTAATGTGACTAGAAAATTCTGAACTGCATGCTATGTAAGAAGTTGTATCAGTCAGTAATTTAGTTGTGCACTGACCACCTTGTTTGTAATATAGTGCTAGAGAGCAAGATTATAGTAATTTCAACAAGAGTTTTCCAGAGTTCTTGTTTAAACTAGGTGCCTCACAAGGCTGTGTTTACTGAACTTTTTTTACTGTTTGCTGTACTGTGTTTATTTCTTTGTAGTTAATTTAAAACTTGGCAGTTAATGGCATTTTCTCTTCTTATTGCATTCTGCTGTTCAGAAGTTGTTATCTTGATGTGATCTTTGGATTTGCATCTAGGGATATTTGAGCTCAATGGAATGTCCATTTTCCTCACTCTTTTTCCACCTTAACAGGTATTCAGACACCCAGAGCAGTTCTAGAAAGGCAGGCATTGCAGAGCTCTCAGCTGAATTCAGAAAGATAAGGACATGAAATTGTGTGTCTGCAATCTCAGTACTGTGGTGTGGGGTTTTTTGTGGTTATGTGGTGAATTTCATATTTATACTCTGTATCTTATATACTTCTTTATTTTGGGCTCATCTCTCCTTTTTATACAATATGGCCCAAGTAATATCAAGAATGATTCAAGGGCTCACTTTGGCTTGTAAATATGTAAAAGCCAGGCAAAAAAAAAAAAAAAAAAAGGCTTGCAAAATGTGTTTTAAGAGGGACTATTTCAATATCCCACTTTTTTGATGCCTCACCAATTTCCCAGTGCAGACATTTCTCTCAATAATTCAAATGGGCAGAATTGTCAGAAGAGGCTATTAGTGGGACAGATTTTTGTCGTGCCATTCCAGTGACCTTTGAAAGAGTAACAAGAGAGCTTCTGCATGCAGTGGCAGTCCAGGAGCATGTGGGATGGGTCTGGTGGCACCTGGATGATTTTTAGGAGGCCTCAGGCCCCCTGCACATCTGTGTGAATGTCCATGAGGGGCCAATGCTTCCTGCTGTCCTTCTGGAGGGAAGGCTGTAAAGCTCCAGGCGTCCCAGGGCACTTGGTGCCTGTGGAATAGTTCAGGAATACTTTGCTGGTGGTGGCAGCTGCAGCAACTTATTGCCTTCCTGTTCTGTTCCCATGGAAGGATCAGGGGCAGAGCTTTGCTCGCTGCCTTATGTCCTGCGCTGCACAGCCCTCACACTGCTGTCTTTTTCACAGTGGTTACTCACTTCAGTAGAGCCATCTTCTATCCAGCATAGAGAACCATTTCTGTTACTGCTGACAGGTTGACAAGTATCCAGAAACCTTCTTCCCAGCTGCCTTGTCTTGTCCTTTTTAGCAGTAATGGGATGCAGGAGAAAGTTACCAGTGTCATTCTGTCCCTCCCAGCTGATGCTCAGTATGACTGTATAGGCTGGGCTGGAGTGATTAAGAGCTGTTAGATTTACAGAAATCCAGGCATTTTGCAGTGGATAGTCGAACTGAGTTAACTGTGAGGTGGTTAACTTTTGTGAAACTGGAGCAAGGTTCACATCATGACCAAGGATCATCCTGGTTAAAAGCTTGAACCTGTTCTTTGTCTTTTTTACTGTGAGCTAAGTCTAATCAGGATGCAGCACAGCACTGTTTGTCTTTGCACTTACCTCTCTGTACTTCCCATGTGTTTATGGGTTTTAAGTTCATTGTGAGTGGTGTTGAAACCTACCTTTCCCACTGAAGAGGAGCTTGGAATAAAGCACACCATTCATTAAGGCTGATTTGTGTTTCAGTTTTGAGTTTAATGTGGCCTGGTCAGATTGTCTTTTATCAGAAATCTTTTTTTTTTTTTTTTTTTATTATTTCCAAAATAGTTACACACACATCCCAGTCCCAAATAATTTTAGTCTAACTCTTAACATTTTAAGAACTCCCATGTGTCAGGGTTTGACTGTATGTCTCATGCCCAGATCATTAATTAAAATAATTGTAATAAAAAACCAAACTGGGACTATGATGCTCAGAAGTACTAGACCACTACGAATAGGCTGTTAAAACAGACCAGTGGGGAGTTTTTTTTATTGCATTTGCTTCTAGACCTTGGGAAGTAGCTTCTTGTAGTTTATATGTGGTTTGCCAGGTGTGTTTTTTCCAAAGCGTGCTTTTTCCAGAGTTTACCAGGTTAGGTGTTTTTCTCTGCCTCCTTCTTTATTATTTGGGAATAGGAAATAATTTTTTAAGTGTTTCGTATTCCTGTTTACCTCACCGGAGATTACAATAACATTCTAGTGTTGATTTATCTGAGTTGCATTGGTGTTGTTTGAACCATTAGTGTTTAGGAGTGGCAGAAATTCTGGTCATGATCAGATATTCACAATCTTTGGTTTATTTCTTGAGGGAGCACTAGCAGCTGCCCCAAGGAGGTGCCCATGTATGTGAGTCAGAGAGTTTCCTCCTTAGATCTCAGCATGCGGGAGGGATTGTGCACGTAAGTACCTGGCAGTTCGAAACACCTGATAGCTCCCCATTCAAATTAGTCTGCCGATTTATGGTGGTCTAGGGGGTGTGAGGCAACACAAAGCCAGTCATACCAAAGCGGAACATCGTGGCCCTACATGCCTGTGCCAGCTTTAGGTGGTTTTGTGGTAGCAGGCAATGCCAGCGATTCTAGCTCATACCAGTCGCACACCTTTTTTTGAATGTGAGGTAGCTGTCTTTAGTAGGCAAAAAACCTTTCTGTCTTGGATATATTCCCCCTTGCAGCATATTTAATTTTCACCTCCTGACCAAGGGGAGTGGAAATTATTTCTATCTGTCTAAGCTTGCAGCCGGCATTGTATAATTTGTACAGTGTAACCTGTGCTTTGCCACAGCTCCTGTGGTTTGTAGTACAGCTAACTGGCACTGAGGGTAAGTGGGAAATTTCTGAGCAATATTTACTGGAGGTACAGCTCAGGAAAACACTTTTGTGGTTCTTGATTTGACTTCTTGGGGATTCATCCATTGCGACATTAAGCTCTGTTGGGACTGGTTGAAAAGGGAACCCAGTATTCCTACTGAGGCAGTTTCAGACCTGGTCATGACTGATGTAAAAAGTACTTCCCTTTTGCACCCAATGTGTTTCTGTGTATTTTGTGTTCCTTGAATGCATACTAGCAGTTAGTAAAAACTTCTGATGCTTGTGGGCGGGGGTGGAAACCATCTGCATTTGAGATGCCTTGGAAATCTGAAAAGCATCACATCATAAATAAGCACAGTAAGAGGAAGAAATAAAGAGGCAAGCACTGGTAGTGGTAATTGATCCATGCATTGAAATGTCAAATTATTTTGTCTGTTCTTATCGGATCATAAGTGAGCTTTCAAGTGAAAGCTCTCTTCCCCATTTACTTTCCTTGCTTGCCCTCTGCAGAGATTTTGCAAGTTGCTGAACAAAGCTAGAGAGGAATTTGTTTGGTTGGTTTTTTCTGTTGTTTGGTTGGTAGATTTTAATTTGGTTTGGCTTGTCTTCTTTGCTATGGGGTTTGGTATGGGCTATGGTATGGGGTTTTTTGCAGGGGGGCAGAGAGGCTTTTTGTTTGTTTTGAAAGTATTCAGTGCTCCTAAACTTGTGAACTCTGTACCTACTTGCTGAGGATACAGTAGCTGGCATAATGAGGATGCTAAATTCTGTTAGTGATGCTTAGGGCCTGTCCGAAGCACAGAATTCAGAAGAGCTACACAATGGGCAGTGGGGAGGTGGAGCTGCATTGTCCTCTGCTGCCCAGGGCCTCTCCTGCTGCAGAAAAGGTCTGTAAGGGGAGCACATCCTCTGCCTGACATCTCAGGTAGTTGGTTGAGCTTGCAGGGTGCTTTTTGTCTGTTCCTGAATTTTGTCATCAGGAAGCTGTTACCAGAATAACTGCTCCATAGTGATTCCTAGCATGGGGAGAATCACAGGGTGTATTTCTAGCTCAAAAATGAGGAATTTGAGCCAGTAACACACGTGCACTTGTACTGGGTGTTCTGTATTATATGGATGATGGTGAAGTGTTGCATAACAAAAGGAATTCTCAAAGTATTCTGTTATTTGGATTTTTAATAACAAGACTCTACAGCCTCCAAAAACTCTACTTCATTACTGAATGTAGCAGTAACTTTAAATGCCCTGCTCCAAATAAATTTTAACCTTACATTACTGTGCCACATTCACACTTAACTTAGCCTTTCTCACATAGCAGTCAATCCACAGCCAAAGGAATTTGGAGTATAAATATACGATTCCTTACTTGTTTCTGATCCTGGGAAGGGTAGATTAAAATGTGAAGTAAGGACCTTTCATGGCAAAAATGAAAAAGAATGGTAAATATTTACAGGAGTATAATAAGAAGTGACTGCCATATATGACATATTTTTAAGGAAGATGTGCCTTAGGGCGGATTATTGGGGGTTTAACTTTTTTTTTCTTGTTTCTTGGGTTTCTCATCTCTTCCTCACCACCTCCCACTCTGACCTCTTAGCAGAGGGGAGCAAAGATGGATATGCAGCTGTGAAGGCAACAGAGCTGCTGGAGAAGAGACAGTAGTCTGGGCAAAAGGTGAAGTGATGCTGGTTTACAGACTTGTGTTGTGAAAATAATCCCTCCAAACAAAGTTCTTGTGTCTGGTGCAGTGATCACCAATAGGTAGTGGGTTGCTCCATTGTCAGCATATTGAACATATTTTTCTGGCAGGTATGAGAGAACAAGATTTCTGTGTGTTGCAGCATTTGCAATCGATCTGGGAATAAAAGTGTCTGAATTGCATAAATATCCTTTAAGAGAAGGTTTTCCATATATTAGCACAGCAAAGAGGGCAAGTGAAGTGTTCTCTCAATCACATGTGCACATACAGTTGTACCTGAAGTGATGGCTGAATTTCTTCAACCTCACAGAAGAATCTAAGCCTTATCTTCAAGCTGGCTTTGGATTGAGAACCTTTAAGGAGAATTTTTGTATATGCTAAATATAAGAATTCTCATTTGGAGAAGTACCAGCCCGGAGTGTCAGCAGTGCCATGAGCTTCGTGGTAATTCTGTTCACTGACTTAAGTGATTGTTCATAGGAGGTTAGCATGTCTATTTTTTTTTTTCTAAATTTTCCACAGTCTAATAGTGGATATGGATAATGTCTCGCCTGAGAAAAATGACGTAAAATGCTGCCCCCGGGACTCTGGATATGACAGCCTATCCAACAAGCTAAGCATATTGGACAAACTCCTCCATACTCACCCTGTGTGGCTGCAGCTTGGTCTGAATGATGCTGAAGCCATGGAAATTTTGCAGACACAGCCTCCTGGGGTAAGAAGAATCTCAATTCTTTAAGGACGTGCTTTTCCCAAATGTTGTGCTGCCATATTACACCCAGGTGTTGGACCAATACAGTAATGACCAAGTACAGTTACAGTATGTTTTAGAGCAGATGTCATGAGGTTGTTGTAGTTCCTTTTTGTATATGATCTGTGTTTATTCTGGCATCTGTGATGAAGTTAATACCACGTCCTTCTGCCTTGTCCACTACAGATATTTCTGGTTAGGAAATCTGCAACACTGCAGAAGAAAGTTATCTCTCTGCGTCTGTCCAGTGATTCTGGGTCCTGCCTGAAAGAATTTGCCATAAAAGAAAGTACATACAGTAAGTTGTGAGTTACATACTTTTCAGCTGTTCCTTAGTTATTTTTTCCCTATAGGATGCAGGAGCATTTGCACTGCTGAAACCCACAGCAGAGGATACCCAAAGTAATGCAAATTATGTAATGGACTGCCTGTGCTGCTCTCTGAGATGGGTCTGGGAGTGGGTCAGTGATATTCTGCCACAAGGAGGGCAGATGTTTGGAAACACTTAAGACTGCTGCAACTGGAATGTTTGCGTTGTGTACCTTGTTGAATCCAGTATTCATTTATTTTTATGGGTAGTTATCCTCTTAGAAATGTATAGGTCTTTTGTAGAAACACAGTCTATAATCCTGTCTGCTTTCAGTGAAATGTCTTTGCATTTCCTTGTACTCAGGGGACGGTTCTTGAATGCAACTTTGTCATGAGCTCTCTGCAATTGAGGTGGGGGATGGGTTGTTTAGTTTGTTTTTGTTTGTGGTGCGTTTTGTTGTTGGGTTTCTTTGGTTGTTTGGTTTTTTGTGTGTGATAGCTAAATGGATTTTAACCTGTTAGAACAGTTTCTGTTGTAAGATCAATGATTTCTCTTTTTTAATTCAAACTATATTTGTTCTTTCTTTTTTTAGTAGAAATGAGCAAATGTTAACACTCCAAATTGTTTTGAACCAATAATGCCATCATATCTTTAGAAGGGAGGGTGTGAAAAATAAATTTGAGCTTTAGGAATGAAAAAAGGAAGCTGCAGCTGGTGAGTGATGCTGAAACTGCAAGTGGAGTAAATATTTCATTTTAACAAGAAAGAGAAAACTGGAGAAAATTAGCAACAATTTCAGTTAAACATCCCTGAAACAGAGAATCTATAGTTAACTTCTGTCCCTCTGATTTTAAGGATTCCCACAACTTCTATTTCTATTTATAAACTGGTATAATTTTAGTTGAGTTTTTCCTTTTTTATCTGTCCCTCCCCTGCACCCAGGAACAAAAAGTTAATTCTATGTGTCTGGTTTTAGTTCCAGTTACAAGCAAGGCAAAGCAAAGAGAAAGTTGTCAGTAATAGTTGATGTCAGTGTGGTCTAAGGCTGTGTTTATAGGCTTGTTGTACTAATAAATTCCCATCTAGAAAATAATGTCTTTTATGAACAAAATTCTTCCACAAGGGGGAAGTATTTACTGATGGTTTTAGGCATTTGTCACAGCTGAGGTTTTAGACCAGAGGCAAAAGATCTGGATCGCTTCACTCTAGGAGCTTCTTCTGCTTGATCTGTGAGATTTGCTACTGGCATCATAGAGAGCCTGAAATAATTGGCATTATTACTGAGAGCAAGTATTTGTATCAATAAGAAGCAATGATACCAAGTGGGGAAAAATGAAAGGCACGGCTTGTGTCTTCCTCTTTCCTTGTGCGAGTCAATGGCACGCGACAACTGTGGGAGTTTTTTAAGGGTTTTCAAGTTAAAAGGTTTTCTTGGAGTGAATGAAAATTTATCTCCCTTTAGGTTCTGCACAGCTAGGGTGAAACAAGTGAGTAGAACAGAATTCAAGAGGAGGAAATAAGACATTTAAAATTAGATATATTACTACCTTGGGCAAACAAAGCCTCAGTTATTGATTTGTTGTCTATTAGCAGAACATTGTGCAGGCCTCATCACACTTAATCTGTTTTACAGGAATTAGACCATATCCTTGGAATACAAAAGTAGGTCAGCTGCCAAGATTATCAGTATATTCTTGAAAATGCCTTCAGCAGGAATATGTACTTCTCTACAGAGTTGTTTTCTCTTAATCAAATAGTAGCTAGTTTGATGGTGAAAACTTATTAACTTCATGGTATAATCTAAGATATATTTTATTAAACTGTTTTAAGAAACAGTGGATTAATGTGTGATTGTTTCCTGTAACTTTCTTTGCAGCATTTTCCTTGGAGGGGTCTGGAATAAGTTTTGCTGATTTGTTCAGACTCATTGCTTTCTACTGTATAAGCAGGTAAGATGGTGCTATGTTCCAAGTCACATCTGCTAGACCGTCTCAAGAAAATGAGTTTTTAGGAGTTGGTTCAACATGCTATTTATGTTGCCAAGCTGTTTATATTCCTGGATAGCCTTAGAAGGTAATGGTAGAAATCAGAGATGAGTCTTGGAAGCAAGCATCTCTGTCTTACTTCATACTGATTACTGGGAGGCTGATGTGATTTTACCCACCCAGCTGTGAGGTGGTGTCAAGCTGAACTTTAGCTGATATCTTGTGATGCTTTCTTAAGTGCTCTGTAGCTCATTTAAAAACAATCATAGACTAGCTCGCAAAGTCCATTTCTTGGAATTGCTGGTGAGAAAAAATTTCGGAGCATGATGGAAAAATGTCGGATATGTAGAATATGACAGCTGGGACATGTCAATTTAAATGGTGAATGACAAAAAAGGACTTGTCAGCTTTGCAGTTTATGGTTGCCAAACTTGTTATCTAGGTAGTATGCAGAAAAAAATGAGCTGGCGTTTTTATCCTTTATTTTCAAATTGACTTCAATTTGCGGGTGAAAATTTCCAGACTGATGCTTGAACCTTGTATGTATGCACAGACAGTAAACAACCAAACTGCCCAGGCGTACATTTTCTGAAGGAAGCGGGGACAAGCAGCTGTGATAGTCTCAGTCCTTTTACTGCATCAAAGCTGCCAGTTCATGCTGACCATGTGATGATTTCTGGTGTGGGATGCTCTTGGGTCGCTGTGCTTGCTGGTTTTGTTTGTGGCAGAGAAGCATCTTAGACCCCTTTGCTACAGCCTCTGTTTACATGCATGTAATAAAAGCAGCACTGATACCACATGGGTAATTGGTCAGAACTCAGAAGATAAATGAGCTGAAAATGCATTTAAATGTATTTAATGAGGAGATATTCCTTATCTTGTCACCCTTTCAGTCCTGCCCACTTGCCAGGCTCTGGTAAATTCTCTCTAAGTACCTACAAAAGATCATTTGCCAGACAGAGATTTCTTGCATTAATCTATCCATTAGGTTCAATGTTGCTTTGTATAGACTAAAGGAGGCAGATAGGTAGCTATTGTGAAAAACAGACAGTACCGTTTAGTACATCACAGGAAATCCAGGAGGATTTTCTAAAACCAGAGGGAATTTCTTGCTGGAGCTACCCAAGCAGTTTTCATGAGGATTTACCTATTTTTGAATTGCAACCGTGGTGGTGATCTGGACTTTGGATTTTCTGTGGTACCATGTAAAGTGCCTTTCAAATGCTTTTTAGCTAGTGTATCAGTCTTGTGCATATGCTTGGCTTGTGTGTGAGTGGAATTCTGAGATCCTGTTTTTTCAAGAAGCTAACATAAAACATAGAGAATATTTATGTCATAAAGACCCACTGTCTGTCTGTACTATATTAGATGGTTGGCTTGTTCACAACCTTAAAACCAAAATTCATACTGACACCAGTTGTGTAGGATTCTCATTTAGTCTTCATTCTATGGTACTTCTACTACAGATGTTGCTGTTTAGCAACATTTAGTTAGAATAAAATTCTTATTCTGAAAACTGGAATAACAGTCAACAGTGTATTCAGAAAGTAAGAAGCTTTTTTGAAGTATTAAGGGCAGGTAACAAGTTTGCATCTCACTGATCTGCTTGTAGAAGACCAAGTGCAAAATCTTCTATTGGAAAGGCAGAAAATACTGGATGGCTCTGTGGAAATGATCCTAGGGAAGGTCTTGGGCACTTGACTGTCATTTGCCCTTCACACCACTCTGCAATGTAAAGGAGCCCTTGGGTTGGTAATGTAATGTTTAACTGTGCTGTGTGTTTAAGGATCTTGCTACCTGACACGGTTCAAGAAGAAGAAAATCAGAAATCAGACACTGCCAGTGTTTACAAAAAGGAAAAAAAAAAAAGCTTTTCAAACTATGGATGTTGCTGAAAACCATAATGGTTTTTCTCTTTGGAAACAGAGATGTCCTTCCATTCACACTGAAGTTGCCTCATGCAATTGCTGCAGCAAAGACAGAAGGTGAACTTGAAGAGGTTGCTCAGCTTGGACTGAGTAAGTAGTTCTCTACAAAGATGTTTTTCCCTGTAGCACACCTGTAACATTGAAGAATAAGGCTGTATCAGTAAATAGTTCATATTGGTTAGTAATGATACAAATTTTGTTAGGAAAAGCAGTTACTCTTATTTGGGCAGGCCAGACCTTCTTCTGGCCAGAGAGTGGTGCTCTTCCTTTCTTCTGTGCTTTCTATGATATTTTTGTTAGTGCTGTTCCTTTCTTCCTTCTTCTCTTCCCTCTCTGGGCAGCCCTTGGGCAAAGCAAATCTCACAGTCTCCACACAGAGGTTGAATGTGGCTTCTGCTCCAAGACCTAATGTTGTCTGCATGCTCACATAGCACTGGCTATGTGAGGCTATATAAAGCACTGGCTTTATAATTTATTGTGAGGAGAGTGTAGGAACTGAGGTCCTCTGTTAATAAAACTTCTGTTCAGATTGACATGGAAACTTAAAATGGTGACTTTTGAGATCAGTGCCTCAACGAAGTGGCGTATTTAGAAAATGAGGAGTGTATATATGGTGGTGTAGAATGTATTCATGGGCAGGGCTTAGGTGCAATTTTTAAAATACCAGAAGACAATGCAAGGATGTCCTTGCATCGCTTGGTTGCTTCAGCCAAACACATGCTCATTGTAAATCATACCTTGAGCTCAAGGAGATGGATGCAAAGCCTGGTGGGATTTACAACTTTGGCATCACCCAGATGAATTATTTAGCAGCTCCGCATTGAGCGAAGGGCTGAGTGGCTTAATTTCCTTCTCCAGGAAGGGAAGGTTGACTGTCAGCAACCTTTGTTGCAGTAGATTTTTTAATGATCTTTGATTTTGAAAAGGATCGTCTCTAAATCAATGTTAGCTTGAGGATCTCTTGAACTGTCTGGTGGGACTTTGCAGTAAAACCATACCCAGAAATGTATTGCAGTGCTTTGCATTTTGGTTTGCTGCAGTAGCAATGCAATTAAAAGGGTTTGTTTTAGAGAGGAGAGAAATTACTTCTGCACTGCTTGTCTGCAAGTTTAGGTAATCAGGTGAAACTATGGGTTATCATGGGAATAGAGGCAAATATGGTACTATTGAGGTCAAGAAAGTAAAAGGTCTTGACTGGAATACAGTGTAATGAAGACAGTCTACCAGTGACACATGGAAACCTTAAAGTAACATGAGGTGAGTCTCTCCAGAGGTTACAACAATGGTAATGTTGATCAAGCTCTCCAGGTCAACCACACTTTGTCACCAGAGCACTGTGGCCTACTTGCTGCAGAATTAGTCTTGCTCTTGAACAGTCTCTGCATTGTGTGTGTTTTTTCTGTAGCTACTGCATTTGAAAGCTGAAGAGGAAACTGATGGATCAGTGTCTGTGTGGTTGCTGTATTTGGGATAAATTACCTGATATACACCAGATCATAGTTTCCATGAGCTAAAAGCAGGCAACAAAGTTCAGGTTTTGATGGATTTTTAGGTGTCCATGTGCAGAAAAGCACACCAGAAAGTCAGCCTTTCACTGCTGTGGACTCAAGAGAGGCGTAAAAACTCCCAAGAGCCCTTCCTGTTAAGTGTAAGCACAAAACCCCATGGTGTGTGAACATAGGGCTGTATCCCCTGTCAGAGCTCTCTAGTGCATTAGGCTGCACAACACAAGTCAATAGGACATAGCCCAGTGTCGTAGGTCGATAAGGAAGTGAGACATGACACCCAGCAAACAACATCAGGAGGAAGTTTTGGTAATAATTTTAAGGCTGTTTCCAACCTGCAAGGGTTCATGTGTTGAACATACAATTGATTCTCTCTCAGTCTCCCTTGTGTTTCACCTGCAACAGTGTTTACATCATGTGTGTTTGCAGCAGCCACGTACCAGGCACAGGCACTGAGCGATCTGCAGGCAGGATGTGAAGTCATGAAGCTGGGAACACAAACAACACGGCATAACTATGTAGAGAAACATGCCTGTGCCTAGAGACATTCTCTGGCTGTGGCTTGTCACCATGGGCTATTTCCTGTCTTCTGCCCTGCAGGCAGGACATGGCTGTTGGGCATGGACCTGTTGTGGATGCTTGGCACTTGTGCACTTGGGCCCAGATATCATTGCTCAGTTGCCTCTAGTGAGCCATCTTGACATACTATGGGAAAAAGACCATGTCAAGATTGGCAAATTTTAGCTAAATCTTCCTCCTCTGGTATTCTGCCCTTATTTCAGCATGATTACTGCCTTCAAGAGCACATCTGGTTTCAGTCTTCATACCTTCAGGAACTAATGCTCTTTAACAGTGACTTGATTGCACAAACATGCTGACACTTGTCTGGGATAAGTGCAGAGGCTGCAGCTGTAACTTGCTGTTGTAGCATAAGTTTCCATGCTGCTGGTGTGGGACTGCACACTAGATCTCTTTATGTGTCACTGCAGTCTGTATTCTCAAGCAAACTGTCCCCACAGCAACGACAGGGCAGGAGGCCAGTACCTCTATTAGACACTTGGACGCTTGGTCTGCCTTGCTAAAGGTGATGTGTGCACCCACCACAGCAAAATGTGAGCTGCCTTTTCATGTACAGTTGCATGTGTTCACTATGAAAAGAAACTGAACCAAGATACTTGTAGAGTTTCTGTAAGTGGCCTTTAGCTGGTGTAAATCAGCTTAAGTATTTTCTTTAATGAAGTGAGCTTATTAATACCAGCTGAGAATCTTGCTTTGTTTCTCCTGAGTGACATGCTAGTGAGAAGTTTAAGTTCATTTCAGTCTCAAGCCAGTAAAAAGTATTCTGTTACAGTCTCCATTCTTTTCTTTGATTCTCAGTTTAATTTTAAGCTTAGTGGGCTGATTAGAAGCTATGCATTGGTCATGGTATTTATAAATAAGTAAGAGCATCCCCAGGAATGTAGCATGCAGTTATGTCTGGTGGTACTTTAACAGGTTCACTTGGATTTTTTCTGCTTTTAATTAATAAAATCTTACCTAAATTTCTTGGTATTTTAAACTGGTGTTGTTGAGTTGAATGTTCTGAGATCCATCTGCATGGTGTTTTGCATTCTTACATTAATGCAATGATGATTTTCAGACTTTTGGAGCTCCCTGGCTAGCAGCAAACCCCCAGATCCTTCACTTCCCTGTAGGCCTGTGCCTTTGGACAGTGCTCACAAAGACTCACGCCAGCTCTGCCTTATAAATGGAGTGCATTCTATACAAACCAGAACGCCTTCAGAGTTGGAGTGCAGCCAGACCAACGGAGCGCTGTGTTTCATTAATCCTCTCTTCTTAAAAGTGCACAGCCAGGATGTCAGTGGAAGTCTGAAAAGGCAGACCCTGAGAACTCCAGACGTGAATGGCAGAGCGAGGCCTTGCTCCCCTCCGCCCCGGCCACCACCTCCTGCTATTAATAGCACCCTCATGAGCCCACAGATTTCCAGGACTATAAAGCAGACGAGCATGCCAGAAACAGTCAGCCATAAGAAGGAGAGGGGCTTGGATTTGCTGCAGAACAAGCCCACCCCGATTCCGCCTCCTCGGCTGAAGAAGCAGGCTGTGTGCCCCGAGGCAGACAGTGCCTCCAGGAGTGTGGCAACAGTTCGGCCTGACTCTGCGTGTGTGCCGGAGGCAGCTGCGGTTCCACATGAAACCCTGCCCGAGCCGGCTCCAGCAGCTCCCAAAAAGACGCCGGCTGCCATCTCTGAGTCACACATCCCGTGGAATAGAGGCCAGCAGAGACTGAGCGACATGAGCATTTCCACCTCCTCATCTGACTCTCTGGACTTCGATCGGAGCATGCCGCTCTTTGGCTATGAGGGGGACACCAACAGCAGCCTGGAGGATTTTGAGGGGGAAAGTGACCAGGAGAGCATGGCACCCCCTTTGAAGCCCAAGAAAAAAAGAAGTAGTTCGTTTGTTCTCCCCAAGATTGTGAAATCTCAGCTACGGAAAGTCAGTGGAGTTTTCAGTTCTTTCATGACCCCTGAGAAGAGGATGATTAAGAAAATTGCAGAGATGTCACGGGACAAACGCACCTATTTTGGATGCTTAGTACAGGACTATGTCAGTTTTCTCCAAGAAAACAAGGAGTGCCATGTTTCGAGCACTGATATGCTGCAAACAATTCGTCAGTTCATGACCCAAGTCAAGAACTACTTGTCCCAGAGCTCTGAACTTGATCCCCCAATCGAATCACTGATTCCTGAAGACCAAATAGGTAAGAAGCACTGTCCTGTATTTTGGGGGAAAGGTGAAAATGTGTAATTTGTGTTTGTAGTGATAGTCTTTGTCCAGCTCAGAAAGGTGGGGCTAACTTGGCTAGTAGAGTATTTGAGTCTTAAAACAACCTCCCCCTTCATTCCTCACTCCAAATCACACTGTCAGTTTGGAATGATTACACTAGGAAGTTGTTGATAAGAAGTTATCCTTAAAATAGGTGCAATGCAGACTTTTTACCTGTGATTATTACTTTTTTACCTGCTCTACTGTTGACAATAGAGAATCCTTTATTTGCTGGCAGACATGTATTTTTCTCTGAAGTGGACTGACATAGTTCTCAATGTTTGGTCTAAAACTGGAAAATCTAACCATAGGGATTGTAGCTGTAGAACTAGAATTCAAAACCAATGACATTTAAAAGCAGTGAGACATTTTATGACAACCTAATTTTGAAATAAATCTGATTCCTCCAGACATTCTTAGTCACTTCTTGTACTATCCCTGCACTTGAAACTAAATAAAAATATAGGTAAGAGTTTTAGAAAACAAATGTGCAGGAGAGAGAAGGGGCTGCTGATCTCTAGTTTTCTGTACTTCTCTGTCAGATATGTTTGTGAGTGGTTATGGATGAGTTAGAATATATGTTTTAAGAGGAGAGAGAGATTTGTGTATCCAAAAAAGTGAAATCATTGTTGCTGCATAAATTTCGCTGCCTCTCTTGCAGAGTCTGAGCAGTATTTGTAAAAGAGCCTGTAAGCCACATTTAAGAGGTAAACATGCCTCACGGCAGAATACTTTCCTTGTGAGCTCACTTCGGTCCTAATTTGTTTGTTTTTCTCCATACCCCAGTGTCCCAACAGTTGGCTCAGTGCAAAATTGGCAGATACTTCCTTCCCTAGGACTCGAGGGTAATTTTATATTGACATTCTGTCTGTCCTTGGCCAAGATGAAGTATTCTCACATAACTTTAGCTTAATTTACACAAAGTCAAGCAAAAGTCACAAGGGCTGCCAAAGCAAATAGAAAAATATGAATAGTGTCCCCAGTATTGAGACTCAGAGACGTGTCATATTCTCACTATAATAATAAAGACTGTTAGGTGGGTGTTACATGGAAGAAAAAGCACCAAATTAAGCAGAGGATGCAGGTGCATTTTTGCCTGCATTTCTGTAAAGTGCTGGATATTTGACAAAGCAATACAGATCGACTTTGGTTATAAGTTTGTGAAAGCCTAGTTTGTTATGAACTTTTCATTTCACAAGGGTGTGATTTAATCGGACTGTGAGTCTCCCAAGGCTGGAAAAAATGTTGTCTGCTATTAAATGTTTCAGACTTCGGAGTAGCATAAGTTATGAAGTATAACAACCAAAACTGCCCTGGTTTTCTTCAGCACCAGCAAGTCTGGTTTTGATCATGTGACTAAACACAATTAATTTATAAAGTGAGCTGGTTTAAACAAAGAAAGAACTTGTTTTTGAATCATCTACTGCCTTTGGCTTGAGACAGCAAACAACTGCAGTGGATCAGAGCATCAGCTGTTGCTGATCTAAGTAGATAACTATGTGACAGCAAAATTTAATCATCCCTATGGAGAGCTTTTTATGAAGTAGAGCCCTGCCTGTTCCATAGTTTTCCTTGACTATTTCAATATGGAATTTCAGCCCAAATTTTAACTTTACAAGTAGTTGTTCATCCTCTCTCATCAGTTCGCACTTCTGCTGTGCAGTTTTTTCCTCCAATGTGTCAGCCTGGTGCTGGATGTGTGCTTCTGGCATAATACTCCTCCTTTCTGAGTCATTCAGGCTTCACTTTAACCCTCTTTTGTCTCCTTAACTTCAGTAGGTGCTGGAACAGCTTCCCCAGGTTTAGTGAAGCCTTCAGTGCTTGGAGCTTCTTTCAACATCTCCATAATGATCTTTTTGATTATGTAGCTTTTCTTCTAGAACTGCATCATGGACTCTTGCAAGCGAAAAACTTCTGCAGCAGATCTTTTAGGCTTCCCAGACAGGGGTCCCATCAAATTGTTAAGCTTCTGCAAAGTCATTGGGAAAATATCCTTCAGGGTTTCAAGTCCTGACAGATGCCTTCTAACCTTAGCACTGTAAGCTGTTAACCCTCCCTGAAGCAATGTGACTCTCCATGTTGGAGCAGAATCAGGAGTAAGGCACAAGGCTCTGTATTGTTTAAGGATGAATATAATTTTTTTTTTAAATTATCCACACCTCAATTTGTATCCACAGAATAAAGACTAGTCTGAAGAGACCCTGATAGTCCAGAGCTGTTTGATCAGCAAATGTTTGGGAGTTTTTGTCTTTTCATCTTTTCCTGGCTTTGAACAGAACTGAGTCAGGTTGAATGCTGTCACTTTGTCAAGTGGGATCTAATATCTGACATCTAAGCAACTTCAGTCTCAGTGTCTGAATCTGGCCTGGAACCAAGAAATTACTGGTTTAAACCACTTGTCAGTAAGGTACTAACTGATCATGTGGGAATGTCCCTAAACAATACCATCTATTACTTGTTTTGATATTTCTAGTATGTTAGGGATATTTAAATGCTGAATGTTGAAGAAGCTTGGAGAGAATGTGTTGGTCCCTTATTGGCGGTCCATGCCTTGTTGAACGGCCTTGGGTCTGTACAGAGGAGTTGCAGGCAGACAGAGCTGGACATACTAATTAACTGAAGCCCAGGACTGACCCTCGTGGTACCTCTTCTCCAATGTCTTGTCTTGTTTGACAGTCAGCCATGGATACTTGGGTTCTCAGTGCAATATTCTGCACATGCCGTTTGTGGTAATTATGGCAGGACAGTATTTCCCTTGTTTGTTTATATTGAAGGTGCACAGAATTAGACCTATGGGTCTTAAAAAGGTTAAGCAGCAGCGCACCCCAGATCCCCTCTTCTTTACTAATCCAGCTATCCTCCTAAAGGAGCTAGAATGGTATGTTGCTATTTCTGCTTGAAAAACTCATGCCAGCTGTTTTTTTCACTGTGTTACTTTTTAGGAGCTTGTACATTTCTTCTGGTGTCCTGTCCTTCATTGTTGCATCTTTTCATGTTGAGCTTAGTCTTAAAAACACATCCCTCAGTGCACCTCCTTTCACCACAGGAGTGATGGGACAAGGCACATAGGAAGCAGTGGTAAAAATACTGAGCAGAGGCAGGGGACCAGGTTCTTTTTCTTACCATCCCTTGGATTTCCTTTGTGACTTTTCCCCTGCTTCTTTTCTTTTCTGCTACTTCAAGAGAAGACATGTGCTTGCCACACAGCTATAGGATGAGTTTTAAGTAGCTCACAGCTGCTTAAAGCAGAGCACACCTAGTACAAATAGTTTATGAGTTTTTGGTGTGCTTTTATGTAGGTGATGAGGGGGTGGCTTACCTTTCACCCCTAGTTCCTAGGTCTTTGCCACCACTGCCTGTAGATCAACCACCTCCATCTGACCTCTGTTTTCAGGGTTGTGCTGATTATCAAGGAATGTGGGTTGTGGGAGGTCTTACTTCAATTCTTGGTCCTGTGGAGGAGATTGCCATGTCTGCACCCACCAAGAAATGGATGCTTGGCCATCACGCTGTGGTATTCCAAAGCAACTTTCTGCTTTCAGCTCCCAGGCAATGTGACCTGCGCAGGACCGTGACTTTTTGTGATGGTTCTCAGGCTCACTCAGTCTGCTATTGACCTCTGATTTCCCTGGTGAGTGGTTTGGCCATGGTAAACAGGGTTTGAGTGTAAGTCAAGGGACTGGAATCTGACGGTCATGTCAGTGGAGCAACAATAGTTGGTAGGTAGCAGGGAAACAGAGATCCTGGAAAACGGGAGAGTGGCCTACAATTTGAGGAAGTGTGGGTTGTAAGGAGGCTGTGTAAGGACACTGGCAATGACTAATATGTTGTCCTGTCTAGATGCAGGCTTGTGTGGTTGGCAGCAAAACAAAAATAGCATGTCAGCACAGGATACAGATGTGTTTCCACAAGTTACAACAAAACTAGCTGGCTGGTCTTTACAATTCATTTATCAAAGCACTTCCAGTTCCCATTTTGAGGCTACAAGCTAATTATAAGCATTTCAGGAACAATACACAGTGTTCAGCTCATATTATATTCAGTTAAAAAAAAATTATCTGAAGAGTATCTGTTTTGGTTTTAGAGTGGTAAGCATCCTGGGAGGATATTTGAAAACATGCATTTGAAATAACAGAATTTTTGTTGCTGATTTGGATCTTAGAAATATACAGAGATGTTCAGGTAAAAAATAAGTCCTCAATTCACAACTTAGATAATGATTTTGCCTCGGAAATCCTCATATACTTTTTTTGTGGCCTTTGGAAGTCAAACAATGAAAACTGCTGCTGATTGAGAATTGGTTTATGAAATCTTACCCAAAAACACCTTTATCTGAAAGCAGCCAGAAGCAACAGTGCTGAAGAAAGGGTTGCTGGCTGGGTGGTCTGGCCCCAAACATGCTCACAGGTGCCATGACACTGAATATTGTTCTGAGACTCAAATCGCAAAAAGTGCTGTCCTACCAGGCTTTAATAATATAATTTTTCTGTAAGCTTTGTACTTATTAGGATACATATGGGTATTACTGTTGACCATTAAAAAAACAGTCAGCCCTTATCAATCTGTTGCTGTTAGCCTCACCAGCTTGTTAGATTTTGCCACTTTTTCATTTGAGGACAGAACTCAGTGGTTTTTACCACTGAGTGTGTGCCAAGAATTCATAAAGGATAAGAAAAGGTTGTGTGTTGTTTTGAGGGGTTTTTGTGTGTGGTTTGAAGGATTTTTGTTTGTTGTGGTTTTTCTTTGTTTTGTTGTGCCTGTGTGGAGCTTTGAGCACAGCCACTAGTTATATGGTCCCTTCCTCTGTGCTGCTTCAAAATTATTTCAAGTTTCCGTAGAAACTGTGGAATGTGAACGAGTAAATTTCTAAGCAATTTCCAGGCACTGCTTTTGGATCTTCTGACAAACAGCAGATATGAAAGAAACCTCCTTGCCATCTTGCCCAGCTGTAAAAATCTGCACGGTTCATCTGTGGAAGTGGCACTACGTGTAAAAGGGTTGAGGGCAGAAACTGTGAGCCTTCCACTTCTCACCTACAGACAACGGGCCTGGCCCCAGCCATGGACTGGGGCTCTGGGGAGGAATTTTCTCTCCCAGCAGCATCCAGTTCCTGTGGGATCTGGGGAAGCACTGCTTCTGCCTCCTATTCTTATAGAGGATCAGTCACATCCAGGAACACGCTTAGTTTCGCGAGGCTCCTGTGAACAAATGATCCCTCTTTTTTTTGACATGAAGGATGGCTTGTGCTCAATATTCATCTGCAAAACTTCCAGTGGAAGCCTGTGGGAGTTTAGCTTTCCCGGGGATAGAGCTCTCTCACTTTGTGTGGTATTTAGGAGCACCAACTGCTTTAATAAACAAGACCAGGTGGTTGGAATGCACACTGCAGAGGTGTTCCTCATACAAGCATAGCAGTTGGTGTTTTATCTATTTGAAAAAATCGGGTAGTAGAAATAAAGTGGAATTGCCAAAAAAAAATTGTCATCAGTGAAGATAGCAAGGAACTATTTGTACACTCTAGAATAGAAATTTAGCTAGCCAACGTACCCGTGGGTGAGATGCATGCATTTTTCTTGGTGGAAAATTGTTTCTGCAATTGTTTCTGCCTCATGAACCCTGAGGATTGCTTTGATGGCAGGGAGAGGCAGTTTCTGTCTCTGTGCAGAAGGGTGATGCTTCTATTTACCTGGCTGGTTTGGTGCTGATTGTGTGTCTCTACCAAGTACAATAGATAAGGATCAGTTGTTTGAAGTGTTGCCACTTGCTAACGTTGCTAATTGATGGCTCTGGTGGGAAGCTGGATCCAGCGGTGACCGCTGTGTGAGAAGGCACCAAGAGCATGTCTCAGACTGATCATGCCTTTACTGACAAATACAGAAAAAAATGCTATATATGAATTCAAGGCACCATAGGAAGAGAAGTGTGTGTGAAGGGTGTTTATATGGGAAAGAGAGGAATGGAGACCCAAAAGGAAAAAGGCCTGAAGAATATGATAAATGAAAGAAAAAAGCAAGAAAATAAAATAATGCTTGTTTGGAGAGTGTGTGTGTGTCTGTGTAAATTCCAAGCCTTAGAAGAAGTATGTGATTTAAAAAAAAAAAAAAAAAAAAAAAAATGGAGGGAGAGTAGGGAGAAAAGGAAGAGGCCGTAGTATGAAAAAAACCCCACAGAAGTACAGGCAAAGAACCCAGGACAGGCATAAGGTTTAATGAAACTGTAATGAGTCACTGTTACTAACAAGAATGTCCACTGTTAATTTGTATAAACGGGTGACCTAGCATTGACACAGCCTCTCCTCTGCGTGCTGTCAGTCCTTGTGCTCCTCTGGTCCATCTGCCTGCTCTAGGCTCTGGTCCTGCCCCACTTTCCTGCGGGGATGGCATGGCACAGGAGCATTCCCTGCCATGTTTCCCACCACGGAACAAATAATCAATGTAACATGATAACTAATGTAAGCTGTGTTGGCATAAGGATGCTGAGAAAGGAAATTGGCTTTTAAAGTTTGCAGAGAAAATGTTGAGCAAAGACCTTTCTCTGTTGAGACAATCCATACTATGAAAACAGAGAATGAGGGTTAAAGAAAAACTGGAGTAGAACAAGAATTAAAAATAAGCCCTGAAGTTAGCAGTTACTGTGCTATGTGCATACAATTGCCAAAGAACTTTGAATTTGATGACAAAGCTGTATATAAGCTTGTGTGATGAAATCTGAAGCTGGACAAACACAGCTTGGTTTTCATTTATAGTTTAAAGACTGTAATCTGTCCAGCTTCACAAAGTTGAGCTGAGTTTTAGGAAATCTTCATTGACTTATAGTTCTGAATGGAAACGATGCAAAAAGGACAGGCTTTAATGCCAAAGCAGACAAATTATGATTTTGACTGTGTTTCACATTAAGTTTGGGAGTTAAAAGTCTAAACTTAAAGTAAAATAAAACTTGCAGACTTCCGACCAACAAAAGAAAAACTTTAATAGACCCTCAGCTTTTTTTGTTGTTTGGTTTTGGTTTTGGGTTTTTTTGGTTTTTTTTTTTATTATCCATAGTCTGTTTGTGTTGCTGTGGTTTTTTCTTTATTTACCACATTGCCAGAAATTACAGTTCCATACAGATTCTGCTCTGCCTCTGTTTTCATATTAGCAAACATCTGGAAACTCAGGTTATGTAATGCACAAATGGGCCTTAGAAAGTAGGTTTTGCTCTACAGGGTCTCTTTAGGGAATGGTTGTGTTAATGCTGGCTCTGCTTTAGAGGGGGAAGTCAGCTGGATTTGTGTTTTCCTGTTGCAGATGTTGTGCTGGAGAAGGCCATGCATAAGTGCATTCTGAAGCCGTTGAAGGGTCACATTGAAGCGATGTTGAAAGAGTTTCATACCACAGATGGTTCCTGGAAACAACTGAAGGAAAACCTGCAGCTGGTGCGGCAGAGGAATCCTCAGGAACTGGGCGTGTTTGTTCCAACACCAGACTTTGTGGACCTTGAAAAGATTAAAGTCAAGTTCATGACTATGCGGAAGATGTATTCACCTGAAAAGAAAGTCATGCTGTTGCTGAGAGTTTGCAAATTGATATACACTGTTATGGAGAATAACTCAGGTATGGCGCTTCTGGTAGTTCAGGTTCACTGATATTTCATACCTGATGTTGTCTTTTAGAGGAATCAGCCCATTCTGCAGACAGGTCTACTGTTAGAGCCCTTGTAGCTTCTCCTTGCCCTTTTGAGAGGAATTCTTTCTCTCTGCTTCTGACTTGCTGTTTCTGAACTATCTGGCTGCATCTTATATCTTAAGAACTCAGTCTGAAGCCGAGTTGTTGTCATGGGTGGAATGCAGCTTCTGGCAAAGTTAATTAGAGAAGCCCTCCCGTGGTGCAGGAGGAACCCTGGTGCTTTCAGAGGAGCCTGGGTACAGCTGGATTCAGTCTTAGCCCAGACTTTGTCAATGGTTTTAAATCCAAGGAATTATAGAGGCATGATTGAACCTTTGTACAACTTGGTCCTACAGGATTAAGGATGACAAACCAGATAGAGTCATATATATTATGATAAATTATTGTACCAAAAAGATCTTCATCTGAATTATTTACTACACAGTGTAGAAGTAAAAACTACTAGTATAGTCTAGAATAGTATAATGCCCTATATCAAAACAATTATAATAAAGAAATTATATTAAAGCTAGCAAAAAGACCCAAAACAATTACTGAGTAGAGATTATGTTTCTTACTAAGACCGACAACCGACTGGGGGCCAAGTCTCTTTTGCTCAGCCTCCAGGAGTGGCGGTAACAGGCATTCCCACCCAAGGCAGTAGTGTCATCACAGACTCCCAGAAGGGATATATTAGAAGATCCTGCTGTTTGAAAGCAGGACTGGACTTTTAGAGTACAAAATGATTGACTGTCAGCCAGATGTCTCCATGCCAGTTGTGTCAGCCTCTGTGGTTTTAGATAAGGATACTTTACTCTATTTGCCACATCCCTGTCAGGTTGTTTAACTTTGGGGTTGATGAGTCAGACTGGGTTTAGCATAATTCAACACCAAAAGCAGCATGAAGCATGACACCACTTCTTAGTTCACCACTGATAACTTTGCAAAACAGGGCATTGTTTTACCTCATTCCAGGAAGAGCATCCTACAGATATGAAGCAATTGAAAAAAAGTAACTTTCCTTAACTGTAGGCTTTTGAAGTTGCCTGGCAGAAAGGCTGTCCTATGAGCCTTGAATTTAACACTGATTCTAAAAGAGTATTTTTCTGCAAATTGTAACAGAGGTAACACCATATATTTAGCTGTTGTAATTCAATAGCATTGATGCATTATGACAACTACAATGGTTTTATCTTAATAGGTGGAGAAAAGCAGCCTCTAATCCAGTATTTTTGGCTTGCTGTGCCACTGAATGTTCTCATTTGGACACTTTCTGTCATGCTTTTGGAACAGAAGTGACATCTATTTCTGCACTGTAGCAAGAACCCAAAAGCACCTTTGAAACCTAAGTACTGAAATGGCACTACAGACCAGTCAAGACCTGCTGAGCAATCAGTAGTCCAAAATGCTGTACTGGATGGCATGAATTTATAGGTGCAAGTCTGACATTCTCTCTTGCACACTACTATGACAGATCATGAGCTAAGGTGTAGCAAAGCTGTGGTAGTGGAAGACTTTTTTTTCCCCTAAGTGAGTATAAGCTACTGCAGGTGCTTAGCAGTTTTCTTTCTAAGGAAGCACTACATGTACAGCTGGGTCTGGTGCAGATCAAGACACCTACTTTCTTTGGAGATTGCAAATGAATGGTAAAGCTCGTGGCTATTAAAGCCTCACGGTACTTTTACAAGATTTAGGACTGAGCTCCTGCCCAGCTTATTATTGCATTTCAAAATTCTGCATTTTAAAAGTGGATATAGGGATCTTAGCCTGAAGTTCTGTAAACTCATCTCTCCATAGTGTGATGTTATTGCATTGAGTAAGGTATTTCCAACATGCAGAAGGAAAATACTAAGAGGCTGCTGTTGGTTAAGTGGTGTACTGGGAGACTTGGGCTAAGATGTGACGAGTGCTTATTGGGCCGTCTTATTTTGTCATGTAAAGTTTGTTAAACATGGCATTGAGCCAGCAGCTGTTTGAGTATCTGTACTTCAGCCAGATACATGTAGTAGGTGGAGCGTGTGCCTCAGCAGGTGTCACCTGAGTTTTACCAGAGCTGTAAGCTGGTTCCTGCTCTGGGCAATTCTGAGTGACCAGCACATCTGTTCTGTAGTGAACACCGTTTTGTCCGACCCAGAGATTTGGCCACACTGAGATTTCTGAACAGAAAGCCAAAATGCAGGAAAAGTGCCAAGAGCACAGACAGGCCTAGGTACAGGACAGTCTTTGTGGATCACTGTCACTCCAGGCCCTTACAGTCTCTCCCCATCTTTCTTGTAGGCTCCCTTCAGGTGCAGCACCTGGTGTTTGTAAAACACCTCTCTGGTGTTTTTGACAATTGTCTGTCAAGGAAATGAGTTGAGTTTTATTGTCAAATCTAATAGACTTTTATATTCAAGCTTCTCTGCTGTGGGATTCATACTCAGAGACTGGTATTTGTGTCTGGATGCTTCCAGAAAGTGGATACAATCCCTGGATGTATAAAGAAAATGCCTATTCATCACCTCTTAGGCAATGGTAGCCGTGCAGGTGAAGGTCAGGCCAGACTGGCATAGCAGCCTTTTCAGCAATTCACTAGTTGAGCTGGTGCCAGGGTGAGCCTAGTCTCTAAATTTCCCTTGCATGCCTCAAGGTGTGCATCATAAGATTTGTGTTTGTTTGAAGGACAGGATTGAGCTGGTCTCCTGTACAGTGAGTGTCAGGTGATGTTCTCTTTGCTGCTCATTGGTGACTTTAGGAGGTTCTGTAGTAATACAGACATGCTGGATAGAGAAGACATAAAAGAGTGTTTTCCTTTCAAACATGGGAACTGGTAAAAAAATGTGGTTTGTCTCTCACTGCCTGTGTTCCCTTCAATCCAGGGAGGCTGTATGGAGCTGATGACTTCTTGCCTGTGTTGACATATGTGCTAGCCCAATGTGATATGCTGGAGCTGGATACCGAAATCGAATATATGATGGAGTTGTTGGATCCATCCTTGCTGCATGGAGAAGGTAATCTATTTATTTTTACTAGAACTGCCTGAAGGACTAGTGAGGGGGTGTCCTGTTTGAGTAGGAATCCTATTAAGGGGAGACCTAATTACGGTGATGTTGATAGTGTAACAAGAGAATGTCATTATTTCCTGTGCTGGGTATCTTGCAGAGCACAAGCCCCAACAGCTGGAAAATCTGCTGCTGTGTATTGCTTTGTGAGCAAAAATGTTGTTTCCAATCCCTTTTGACTCAGCAGGCAAACATGTGCACTGTGCAGGTGCCGAATGGCCTTAGCCTTTTGTGCCTGAAAATTTCCAGAGAGGATTTATGGGGCAGCAGCACTCAGCAAATTGTGAGGCACATAATAAGACTTGGGTTACATGCTTTGTGAGGACTACTGGGGGACTTCTTTGCACCTTTGTGGAAGTGCTTTTGAGAATATTGCCCCCTTTTAATGATCTTTACTTCTTTCCAATATTTGCCTCTCATAAAGTATTTTTATGAGCTCTAGCAGTATGTTTCCTGAGGCATTTCTAGAATGAAAGCTAAAGTCTGCTGGAGGCAAGGAAATCTGCCTCCTTGCTGTTTCCATGGTAGTATTTTTAATGAAGAAGTTTTCTGCAAGGCCCTGGTAGACCCCAGGATCTAAAAGGTTTATGAGGAGGTTTGAAGGCTCTTGCAGCCAAGCTTAGCTGTGTGTTTAGGTATATGTGTATGTTTCCTGTTTGTGCTATATCCTGGCTTTCTGTAATTGCTGTATCCTCTTGCATGCCCCTATGCCTGGGAGAATTCATGCCATGATTCCTTCCATTTGGCACTAGTCTGTTCCGTTCTTGGTGTACAGAGCATCCTTGAGTGCATTGTTAGGAGTCTTAGCATGGAAAATACTTGATGTGAAGCTGGAGATCATTAACATGCTTGAAAAGTAGAAAGATTTACTGGACTATTAAGTCTTCTTGTTTTGAATGCAGCAAAGATAGTCTGTCTATTGGCTGGGCTTGTCATAGGCATTAGTTCAGCTCTGCTGTACAGAAAAAATGTATAGAGCTTTGGAGTTGTGCATTTCAAATGTAATGTATTGTCCAATTTGTCTAATGGGTCTTGCATGAATTTTACATGTTCATCTTGTTGCCAAGCTAAAGGCTGAGAGGGAGTGCTGGCACTAATACAGTTAAATACTACTGTGGGAATCGAATGCATCTCTGAATGCCTCTGCATAGACTGTGCTCTTAGCTGAACACTCCCACCCAAATAGTTGACTTTAAAAAGAAAAGACAGCACGTCTATTGTTTCTCCTGGTTGCTGTGGATTGTTGCCTCCTGTTGAGACTCTTTTACTTTGGGATCCACAGCTTCTTTTGTACATTGGCAACTCTGTTGTGCCTTTAATTTGTTCTCTACTCATGTAATAAAGGGGAAGTGTGCAGGACTGTACACACCATCTCCTGAATTAGCTGGACATTCTGGGGAATGCTAAGAAGGTGATAGATCAATAGTTGTTTTAAAAATAAAGGCAACTCTTGGGATGATTCCAGAGTACATGCTCAGTCTCACACTCAGTTGTTGCTTTATTGCCACTGAGGTTGGTTGCTTTTAAGTTGATGAACAGTGTTAGATTGTTTTTTAATTTGTTTCAACAGCCATGTTTATTTCATCCACCTCTGAAGCCTGGGAAGAAACTAAAACACTGTTAGAAAGTTGTTTAGGATAAAGCTGGTGTTCCAAGAATGGAGGAGTAAGTACTCAGGAGTAAAGGAGTTACCAGAGTTTTCCTAGCTTTCACAGAGACAGGGCAAGTGAGAGTTTTAAAAGATTTTATTCTATTGTCAGTCATTTAAGGAAATGGCTTTCCTCAGCAGGAGTGGACTCAAGGCTCCACTGTGTAATATGCAGCACATGCAACACCTGCATGTCTCTGAGCAGCTGAGAACACACCCTCCAGTGCTGTGCAGGCCAGGGAGGATTTTCCTTTTATGTGTAAATATTCTGGCAACTTTCATATCTGTGTGTGTGGCTGGGTACCTCTCTGTGTTTATTTATATATATCTCAAAGAAAACTGCCTGTACTTGTGACTGTGACCACTCTGAGAAGTTCTTCCCTTGCTGTCCTTCACAGGAGGCTATTACTTGACAAGCGCTTATGGAGCACTTTCACTGATCAAGAACTTCCAGGAAGAACAAGCTGCCCAGCTGCTCAGTTCAGAGGCCAGAGATACTCTCCGGCAGTGGCACAAGAGGAGGACAACAAACAGGACAATACCTTCAGTTGATGATTTTCAGGTAGAGCTTAGGGCTAAAATAGAAAATGGGATGATTGTGTTGCCGGAAACACCCATTTGAGAGGTATCATTCATAGCAAATTCCCTTGGTGCCACACGTGGAGTGAAACAGTGCTGAGATTACTGCTGGCAAATTTGCCTCTTTGAAATCTTTGCACTCTTTATTAAATAGACAGTTTCATTATGATGGTCTGAAGAAAATACTAAATAAGAGAGCTTTCTTACTTTCCCTTTTAAGTTACATGAAGCGAGGACAAACTGCATTGTATCTCAGATTCAGCTTTTTTGCATGCTTTATTGTTCAAAAGATCAAATCCAGATTTCCAGAGGTATAAATCAGCCTAGCTGCCCAGTAGCCAGTGATGACAAAGCAGGTAGCAGAGAGGAGAGGTGGGAGAAATGTTCCCTGACAGTTCTGAAGTTTAAGCAGGCAGCAGAGTTCTGTGATACGGATGTCCTCACATTTGTTTGTGTTTTGTTTTTTCTTTTTTGTCCCCTGTATTTTGTACTGCTCTTCTAGAGTAGGGCAGTAGCTTCACCTGGAGAATAACACAGCAGTGGTTATCACTTCATCTTCTGAAACCAGGCCTGCATCTCTTCGATCTGATTTGGACTGACTATTAAGGTGCAGCAGTTTGTGAGCTGAAAGAGGGGAGGGTATTGGAATTAAGAAGAGAGGATTTACTCCTTGTAGTTAAGCTGTCTGCAGTTAGGAAGAGGAGAAGCGATTACGTGCAATTCCAGTGCCCAAAGCCTGTCTGTCTCCCTGGGATCCACGTTCTGTTCTCCTGACCTATACTTAGGTGTCAGATTCCAGCAGCTGGAGTCTTTGTTCTTTCTGACAAAACTCTGCACTTTCCATGGGAGCATCCAGCACCTTTATTTCTGCTGGGTGAAGAAATGACAGAAGATTCTTTCTGCACGATTTTGTTGGAATTTCCATCTTCTCTTTCTCTGCAGATGAACTTGATACAGGCTCAGTGTTCAGTTGAATGCAGGAGGATGCAGGGGGCAGGGAAGAGCTGTCACCGAGTGTGTCCAGTGCTTCTCCTGCTCTTGTCTCTTTAAAAAGAGAGCCTCAAATTACTGGATCCCACCACCCACAGGATGTGCTTGGCACAAATGCAAGTGTTTTGCTGTCTACTCAAAATGGCGATTTTTCTCTCTTCTCTCTCTGAGTCTTGCAGTCCTGAAATGGAGCACCTTGCCTACAACTGGCATGGAACATATCTGCAGCTCCAATCACCTTTCTACCAGGGAAACAGGATGGTGTGGTCATGGCATTTCTGTGCTGCAGTCTCACAGCCTTGCCCGCTCTTGGGCCCTGGAGGCTGTCTTTCCACCTTCCCTAAATGGATGGAAAAGCAAAAACCCCAGTACTTTGATGAAAATTAAATACAGCTTTCTGGGCATCTGTAAAAAAATTCAGCCTTTTCTTCCAGCAATCCTGTCCATCTAAAACCTCGTGCTTTTCAAAACATGTCTTATGTGTGGTAGCTGCATTAAAAATTAATTATAGTATGTTTTGCCCTATTTGGGGCTGGGTTTTTTCTACAAGTTCTTCATACCAGGTAAAAAAAAAAGGCTTCGTTCTGTTCAGTCCCATTTTTAAAATCTATTGCAGAGCTTTAGTGTTCAGTCTTTGTCATATAAAGAAATACTTGATTAGACAAAAGTGCTCTTTGGAACTTAAGTCATTGGAAGGTTCTTCTCAGTCCTAGCTTTTAACAGCTTGTTTCTGTAAGAGGTAAACTTCTACCTTTGGAATTTCACACGCTTAATTTATTCAGCATACAAACCATGGGTGCCAGCTCAGTCAATAAACAACTCTTTCTTGCTGTAATTTTTTCCACCTCCTTCAATCTTACTGCATTTTAATCTTTAATTCCAGCTATTTTTTTTCTTTTAAAACTGTCTCTGGTTTAGAGACAATTTTAGGAGAAAATGCTCTAGAATTAACATTTTCTCTAAAGAAAATGGGTTTTGGCACTTCCTTCCCACCAATATGAAAGGAATTTCTTGGATGAAAGTGGCAAAAACCATCTGTTTAATGAAGTGCCCACAGGGCAGGCAGGGAGAAAATTAATCACTGTTAGGTATTGAAGCTCCTTTCTGCTAGTGGATTTAGAGTTCCCTCTTTAGCTGCCCTGGCCTCCCCTGAGGTCCAGAGCTGGGATGCAGCATCCAGCTCCCACCAGTGGTCTGGTTGTCAGGCCAAAGCGAGCTGAGCAGTTCCAGAGGAAGCCACCGGAGGATTGCTGTTGCAGTCCTGTGAAGACTTCTTGCCTCAGCTGACTAAAACCAAGGTAGCCAAAGGCAGAAATGGAATGTAACTCCCTCCATGCCGCAGACCCAAGCACACAGGGGAATGAGTACCTGAACACAACCTGCGCCAGAGTTCCCCTAGCTCCCACTCCTCTTCTGGACCCAGCTTAAAGCTCCAGGACCCATTTCTGGGCATAAAGCAGACCATCGGGTAATACAGTAGTATCATAACATCACCCCAAGACAAAAACAAACAGCGAGCAGATGAAACTGCATTTCCCTGTAGGTCCTATTTAGAATGTATCTGTGTTAGCAGCGTTGTGGGTGTGAGTTTCTACAAGAGAAGAGATCCAGCTTTTGCATCAAGATCAGGTGCATTTACTCAAATGGTGCAGAGTAAATTTTCTTTCTGAATCCCTGAAATGAAATGCTATCCTGTGAAGCTGGGTTAGGCCAGGCTTAGACACCAGACTGCAGCTCATGGGATGGCCATAATATCCGGGAATCACCAGGGTGTGTTTCACAGCTGGAGCAGGGAGAAGCTTGCTTTTTGTTGCTGGCTTTTCAGTTTTCAGAGGCTAACGGTTTTTCAAGTTCCTGATGTCTACTTTCTTGTTCACAGAACTACCTTCGTGTTGCATTCCAGGAAGTTACCAGCGGCTGTACAGGAAAGACTTTGCTAGTACGGCCATATATCACTACTGAAGATGTATGTCAGCTTTGTGCTGAGAAGTTTAAAGTGGCAAATCCAGAAGAATACAGGCTGTTTCTTTTTGTTGATGACACCTGGCAACAACTGACAGAGGATACCTACCCTCAGAAGATCAAGGCTGAATTGCACAGCCGTCCGCAGCCCCAGGTCTTTCACTTTGTCTACAAGCGTGTTAACAGTGACCCATATGGGGCAATTCTTCAGAACAGCAATAATTCAGCTGCTTAAAACCAGCAGCCTGTCATTTTTATATATCTGTTCCTTGGTAATTGTTACAAACATCTTTGTTGGCTGCCTTCCTTAGGAGCTAAAACATGTTAAACCGTAAGTGCCTGGCAAAATATGTGCTGACATTTCTGGTACTGCTTACAGGATCCAGGGGCACTGTGCACGTGGCCAGTTATGCAGAATATATCCACCAGCATGTCTGAGGAGACAACCTATGAGGTTGCATTTCTTGTACCATGGACTATTTTTTAGCATATTCTACTGCAGCCTTTCACAGGTCTTGGCTGTAGTGTGCAAAATACGATTTTCTTCCACTCCTTGTTTCCCCAGCTGTCATTTGCATTTGAATCTGTGCATCTGTGAACTGGGCGGGGTGAGTTCAGTTTCACCAGCAGGAGTTTGACAAGACTCTCCGATGCAGGGCATCAGTTCACTCAGCATTACCTGGATGGTTGCATCCTTGTCTAATATTTTTGATTACAGAAAATCATCATGTTTATATATATATATATATATATATATAGATATAGATATTTTATAGCAGTTGCAGGTAAACTGTCAGGCTGGTTTTTGAAATATTTTTTTAACTAAAATGTTCTATAATTATGCATGTGATTTTTAACATTTAATACACAAGAATAAATCTCTTGCTGGTTTTAGAGTCTTGCACTGATAGTCTGTGTGTTTTTTCTTCTTTACCTGTTCTAGGAGTGTCCTTAGGAAACCTCTGTACACTCGAGGCAGTTTTGCTGTCTGTTTTCAATTGTCTTCCAAAAATCAGACCATCTTATTCATTGAGCTGTGCAAAATACATCTTAACCTCTCATCACAATCATTATGAGCACTGAGGGGAAGAGAACCAATAAAGGTGAAATTTCCCTGAGAAATGAGATCAGGGTGTTCACTGGTTGCATGGGCTGGGATTAGAGCTGAGCTGGAGCACATCATCTATTCAGCTTTCACCTCATGTTTTCTCAGGGGGTTTATGGCTCTGCCAAAAGACAGTTGTTAATTAATGAGTCCCAGGCCAAGCTGTGACAGTAACCTGTTCTGTTAGAGCTGGTGTTTTTTTGGCATGTGCATCAGCTACACTCTCTAATAAGTCTTGGGCTTTGTTTCCGATTTTCTTTCAGACTTATATCAAACTATCATCCCCTTTTCTTCTGTTTGTCTGGTGTGTCTTTTGTGTTCCTTTGTCCTGTGTGCTCCCCCTTTCATTCCCTTTCACTACTTCATTCTCTTGTTCTTCTTTTTCTTTTAAGAAAAAAATGCTCAATATTTATTTAATAAACTTTGCTCAGTCCCTCTCCCTGTACTACTTTTTGTCTCCCTCCCTCTCCTTGCCTGCATCTTTATCTTTCATTCTTTGTTCCTCTTTTTTCCCCTGTGTCTTACACCGGGACTGTATTTCTTTGTCTCTCTCACTGTCCCTTTGCCTGTACCTGTCTGTAACTTCTGCCCAGTCCTTCACTCTCATTGTACCCTTTTCTTGATAAGCCTCTGTCCTGCTGGCCATGCCTCTCTTTCTCTGTTCCTGCCCTGTGCCTTGCCCACCTTTCTCGCACCAGCAGGTGCTGTGGTCGTAGCCTCTCTCTGTCTTTGTTTCACTCTTTGTATCCGTCTGTCTTCACCATGTGTTTGGCCCTCTGTCTTTTTCACTGTGCCTCACTCATGTTCCTCTTTTATTCTGTGTGGCTCTGTGGTGTTTTCCATACCATTGTTTCTCACTGGATGCTTGTGTACCACTACGTGTCCCTGTTCTTTTTGAATCAGTCTCTGTAATGCTGCCCATCCCAGTTTGGGGTTTTTTTTGTTTTGTTTTGTTTGGTTGGTTGGTTTTTTTGAGGGTTTTTGGGGTGGTTTTGGTTTGGTGGTTTTGTTTTTGTTTGTTTGGGTTTTTTTGTTTGGTTGGTTTTTTGCCTCAACTGTATTCCTTTTTTATCCCTGGTGGCTCTGTGGTACGCCTGTGTGCCATTGTTTCTCTACTGGATCCTTGTGTCCCATTCCCTGTCCCTGTTCTTTTTTATTCCCTTACTGCCATGCGTCCCAGCCCAGATTTTGTTGTTGTTGGTTTTGGTTTGCTTTTTTTTTTTATATTTTTTTTCAATTTCATTCTGCACCCCGTTCTTTTCTTCTTGTGTCCCCTCTGCTGCCACTCCCTCTTTCTGCCTCTCGCCAGTGACTGTGGGGCTGGGGAGGAACTTCTGGGGGCTGCCTCCCATTCTTATTGCAGCAGAGTCCCTTTTGGTGGGGGGTGTACACATAGAAATGGCTTGAATAAAGCACCATGTTGCTGTCCAGGGCAGTTTGATTCATTCTGTGCTTTCTTTGGGGGGTGAGGAAAAAAGGCTGAGGGGGAGGGGTTGGAGACTCAGAGGCTCTGATGTCATTTGGGTCACCCCAAGGTCCCTAGGAGAGAGAGCCACGCTGTGGTGGAGGAGCAGGTGAGTGAGGAATGAGGGGGGGGGGGTCATATTGGGTTACTCTCCCCCAGAGGGACCAAAAGCTGCCAGAAAATTCACAAGGAGGGGTGGGTGTAGAATACTAAAACGTGTAAAGTTTTTCGTTTGGCAAAGAATAGGAATTTATCTCAAATCATTTGGAAAGAAACAGTCTCTCTGACCACTCTATTGTATACAGGAACGTAGGAAACTGACTAAAGATGGTTAGTAATTTTGAAAACAATGCCATAACGTTTTTACATAGGAATGAACCAATCAAGTGCCCTGAAACCCTAAGTAGAGGTGCAGGGGCTGAAGGAATAGAAAGGGACTCTCTGGCAACTTCAGCCTCCGTTCTCTGCCTGCCCCCAAAGCGTGTGGCGGCCCCAGCCTGGAGAAGGCAGTGCTGCCGCCTTGTGGACAGGGAACGGTACAACCTCTCCCCGGGATAGCGGCGGGCTGCGTGGCTGCCGAGCTTGGAAAGGGCGAGGGGCAGGAGTGAGCGGTGAGTTGGGGTAGTGCCTGTAAATAGAGGAGAGCGGTGAAGGAGAGGCAGGAGTGCAAAGGGTGAGCGGGCGCCACGGCGCTGCAAGGAATGCGGGCGGTGACTGAGAAGAATGGAAGTAGCGGGAGCGGCCCGGCGGGGCCGGTTTCGGCGGTGGCGGAGGCGCGGTCGCAGCGCGGGCGGGCGAGCGGCGCCGGAACAGAGCTGCCATTTCAAGATGGCAGAAGCGACCGCGTACCAGGACCCTGCATGAGCTGGGTCGGGCTCCAGCCATACTCAAGATGGCGGCCGCGGTAGGACGCCGGCAGAAGCGTTGCCGCCGCTCTCTGCCGCTACTCGCGCAGCTGCCGGCCGGCTCCGGTACCGCTGACCACGCCAACCGTTTTCTCACACTGGAAAGGCAGCGAAAAATCGCGCTGAGAGCGTGGGATCGGCGTCGGGGCCGCATTGAGGCAGCCGACTAGACAAACTCCTGTGTGAAGAGCGAGGGGGGGCCTTAAGGGTACCACAACAAATATGGTGGGTCGACCGGAAGTGGCTTCTGCCAGTACCAAAGAGTGTGGCGAGGAAAGGCGAAAGTCACTTGACGCCACACCCAAGATGGCGGCTCAGACGCCAGGCACCTGACCTTCCAAGGATGGCAACATTCCACGCATGCGCCTTGGGAAGGGACAAAAAAGGGGTGGGACAGTACCTCACTCCGTCTTTTCGGCTGCTTGCACGTAACCCCGACACCGACCAGCCCAGCGCGGTTTTCCGCGATGTTTCCAGGTGCGCGGACATGGGCTGTGGGTTCAGCATCGCCGGGGCCGGGTGGGTGCCGGGCGGGCGCGGACAGGCAGTGGCGGCGATGTCTCTGTACCTCTCCTCCCCTCCTACGAGAGGACCCCACGCCATGCCGTGCCGGGCGCCCATCCCGTCCCACCGCCGCCGCCCTTCCACCGGTCCCGCCGCTCTCCCCCCCTTCTTCATCCCCGCTCCCTTTCGCCCCGGGGAAATGGAAGAAAACACAAAAGCATTGGGGAAAAACAGTCAGCCGAACTGCCTGAGCCATCCTCCTGCTCGCAGAGCGCAAGCTGCCCGCAGCCAGGAGCGCCCAGCAGGAGGAGGCAGCTGCTCTCTTTGCTAGGAGGTGAGAGGTGCGAGGGGCGTGGAGGGGGCACAGTTCGCCGGGCAGGGCTTCCTAGGGAAACTTTCAGCTCCCCGCAGCTCTGGCTGAGTGCTGCATGGAGGCCGGGCTGAGCCAGCTGGGAGGTGGGGGTCCCCGGGAGCTGCTGCCGAAAGGGCAACTCAAGCAGCCTCGTGTCGTCTGTGTGTGGAAACAGTTCTAGAGCCAGCAGCCAAGTGCAATTTCTATCGGATTTGTAGCAAATGTGCTGTTTCAAGCTGGGAGCGCTCGGTTCCCTGGGTGGGAAAGTCCTTGAGGTAGCCAAGCTGAGCAATTTCTGAGAATTGTAAGCCTCGTGTCCTTAAGATTCTTGGTACAGTATTTAAATAGTTACTATCGAGTTGAGACAGTATCAAGTGGATTTTGTTGGTTTGTTGGGTTTTTTCCCGCTCACTCGTGTTCCTTTTTTATTCTCTCTGGTGCTCCCGTGTGCCATTGTTTCTCTACTGGATCCTTGTGTCCCGTTCCCTGTCCCTGTTCTTTTTTATTCCCTTATTGCCATGCGTCCCATCCCAGATTTTGTTGTTGTTGTTTTTTGTTTGCTTTTTTTTTATATATAATTTTTTCAATTTCATTCTGCACCCCGTTCTTACTTTTCTTCCTGTGCCTTCTCCGCTGCCACTCCCTCTTTCTGCCGCTCGCCTGTGACTGTGGGGCTGGGGAGGAACTTCTGGGGGCTACCTCCCATTCTTTTTGCAGCAGAGTCCCTTTTGGTGGGGGGTGTACACATAGAAAGGGCTTGAATAAAGCACCATGTTGCTGTCCAGGGCACTTTGATTCATTCTGTGCTTTCTTTGGGGGTGAGGAAAAAAGGCTGAGGGGAAGGGGTTGGAGACTCAGAGGCTCTGATGTCATTTGGGTCACCCCAAGGTCCCTAGGAGAGAGAGCCACGCTGTGGTGGAGGAACAGGTGATGGAGGAATGAGGAGGGGTTGTGCTGGGTTGCCCTGGGTTCCCTGGGTGGGAAAGTCCTTGAAGTAGCCAAGCTGAGCCCTTTCTGAGAGTTCCAAGCCTCTTGTCCTTAGGATTCTTGACATAGTATTTAACAAGTTACTATCAAGTTGAAACAGTATCTAGTGGATTTGTTAAAATGGCAGAAATGTTTTTTCACCTGGAACTGTGTTGGGATAAGGAACCTTCCTTAATGTCAGAATTATTTGGTCTTCCTTCTTTTTCCTTTTTTATTCTTTCTCGATTGCTGAGCATTGGGGAGAAGATTTGGGATAAAGAAGTGAAAGGCACAAGGGAAGCTCCACAGTCCCAAGGCAATACTTTATCATGTGCAGCTTCTGAACCGCAATAATAATCTTGGCTGCCACAGAAACCTTCTGAAGCTGGAAGGGACAGGGAAGACAATTACAGGATCTGTGGGAGGTGCTTTCTCCCAGATCTGGATGACATTGAGGTCGGAACAAGTTCCAAATTATCCTTGTGTGTCTCCTGTTGCTAGTCCAGGACTAAGTCAGTGTTCCCTGAGTGGCTGCAGTTCCCTGAGTGTGGAGGGAAGAAGCCTGTGATGGAGGATGTGAGAAAGCTCCATGCTGGTTGCTGTGTCC